ATGGTGGCATCAATTTATGCATGCATATATATATATATATGCATTGATGTTTGTATCATAACATGTTGATATCAGTTTTGTTTTTTTGATTACAAAACACGTACGAATGCTAATTTGTACTTGATGAATCCATTGTTGGTCTCATTCATTGTCTTTTATATCTGATATCGGGGATGGATGTTCATGGCTGAAATGAGCATCATGTTTAACGGCTACATATTAAAGTGACAGTTATCTTATAAAAAAAAAAGATGGTTTCTATGAAAGACATAGATATGTCCAGGATTTACCATGTTGCGTGTATAATTTTATATATAAAGAAGTTTCATGTGTGTGGAAGGATTCTTTTCAATTGGTTTGAGATTGAATCATATAATTTTTTAGTTTGTTGTTCTACATATAGAAGTGGAAAACTCTTGCTAATAACTTCCCTTGCGCATACGCATAATGACTGGTTCTGTTATCAGTCTATAAATTTTGAGAACATGCAAGGTTGGGCGGGCTTGGCTGTCGAACTTTGATATGTATATATATGACTGATTGATGCATTACGGCTTAAAGGAATTTTTTCTAAAGGGGGCATTGATATAAATGACCTATATATGTGTTTTAGCCACGGGTTATGTTCAATGAGAAATGTAGTGAAATTTGATGCCATTTAATGGTATATAGTATGATAAATGAGAAATTTTATGACATGAATATTTTGTTATATTAATTATTATGTGTGAAATGTCATGCATTTATTGCCATTCAATGGTATATGGTACACTTAATGGATTTGATGGTATATGATGGCATTTGATATCCATTAACTCATGACTTATAAATGTGAAAGTTTGATTTTATGATTTAGACAAATGATAACTTTAGCTTAAAATGCACTAGGTGTTTTGACGGATATAAAAGTTTTATATTTAGTGAAATATTTGATACTATGTGAACTCAAAAGAGCTATCTTAGTAATGGCATGATCAAGGTCAATGGATGATTTTGATATTGTAAATGACATGATAATTGTAATGTTATTTTATGGTTAAATTGAAATTTATTATTTGATATATGTTAATGTTCAGTAAGAAAATAAAAGGCATAAGGAGCAATGTAGTGGGGAGAGTATAATGCCTCTTTGAGAAATTTTGTTTAGAGTTTGGTATTACATACCAAAAGATGGCTCCTTATGCTTCACAATCCAATGGGATTGCTGAGAGAAAGACCCAGACATTAAATGAAATGATCTTGTTGATGTTTGGTTTGTGGGGAAAAGTCATTTAATGACAAATTATATATAATCAGTAAAGTACCCCACAAGAAATTAAGAACATCCCCTATGAAATATGGAAAGGTAGGGAGCCTACCTGGAATTATCTTGAAGTGTGGGGGTGTTTGACAAAGAGCATACCATACGACATATGGAAAGGAAAGAAGCCATCCCTGAAATACTTTAGAGTGTGGGGGTGCTTGGCTAAGGTTGCGGTTCCTAAACCCAAAAGGTTGAAAATCGGACCTAAAATCGTGGATTGTGTATTCATCGGTTATGCACTTAATAATAGTGCTTATCGATTTCTAGTGTATAAATTTGATATTTCATATATACACGTCAACACGGTTATTGAGTCAAGGGAAGTTACTTTCTTTGAAGACGTATTTCCGTATAAGAAAATTCGTGAATCAAGTGGTAATAATGATGATCAGGATGTGATACCTCGGGATGCTACTACTGATACTGATCCTGTAGAGGATGTAGAAGTTGAACCTAGACGTAGCAAGAGGCAAAAGACTACCACATCCTTTGGACCTGATTTTATGACATATTTGTTAGAAAAATGAGCCTCGAACGTATAAGGAAGCTATAACGTCCCCGGAAGGACCATTCTGGGAAGAAGCTATCAACAGTGAGATAGAATCTATCTTGTCCAACCACACTTGGGAATTGGTAAATCTTCCTCCTGGCAATAAGCCTTTAGGAAGTAAGTGGGTTTTCAAAAGAAAAATGAAAGAGAATGACACTATTGATAAATATAAAGCAAGGCTTGTGGTAAAAGGTTACAGGCAACGTGAAGGTCTCGATTATTTCGATACTTATTCACCGGTTACAAGGATCACATCCATTAGGATGTTGATCGCGGTAGCTGCATTGAATGGATTACAAATACATCAAATGGATGTTAAGACCGCATTCTTAAATGACGACCTGGAAGAAGAGATATACTTAGAACAACCTGAAGGTTTTGTTGTTCCAGGACAAGAACAGAAAGTTTGTCGCTTAATAAAATCCCTTTACGGGTTAAAGCAAGCTCCAAAGCAATGACATGAGAAATTTGACAAAGTTATGTTGTCAAATGGATTTCAAATTAATGAATGTGACAAATGTGTCTATGTTCGAAATACTGAAAAAGGTTTTGTCATTGTCTGTCTTTATGTAGACGACATGTTAATCATGGGTAGTAATAATCAAATGATTAATGCTACTAAACAATTACTTAAAAGTAAGTTTGATATGAAAGATATGGGGATAGCAGACGTTATCCTAGGTATTAAAATCCATAGAACATCTACAGGGTTGGGCTTATCACAGGCTCACTATGTAGCTAAGGTTCTTGAGAAATTCAAGAGTTTGAAAATAACTCCTGTGAGGAACCCTGTAGATTCTAATCTGAGTTTATTAAAGAACACTGGTAAAGCTACAACACAAAAGCTATATGCTCAAGTGTTGGGAAGCCTTATGTATGTTATGAACTGCACCAGACCTGATATTGCTTATGCAGTAAGTCTGTTAAGTCGCTTTACCAGTAATCCAAATGAGAATCATTGGAAAGCTATGGTAAGAGTTTTGGGATACTTGAAGTATACTCAGAATTATGCTTTGCATTACGAGAAATACCCCGCGGTTATAGAAGGGTATTGTGATGCAAATTGGATCACCGGCTCTAACGACACTAGATCCACAAGTGGATATGTGTTAACCCGTGGTAGAGGTGCTATGTCTTGGAAATCGTCCAAGCAAACCTGCATTGCAAGGTCAACCATGGAAGCAGAATTTATTGCTTTAGATAAGGCCGGTGAAGAAGCCGAATGGCTTCGTAATTTTATTGAGGATGTTCCTAATTGGCCAAGACCGGTACCATCTGTATGCATACATTGTGATAGCCAAGCAGCTATTGGAAGGGCCAAGAACGTCATGTATAACGGTAAGTCTAGACACATACGTCGTAGACATGATACCGTAAGACAACTACTCTCGAATGGAATCATTTCAATTGACTATGTTAAGTCTAAGGAAAACATAGCGGATCTGTTAACCAAAGGGATTCCTAGAGAGTTGGTTGAAAATTTGTTGAAAGGAATGGGTTTAAGGCCTATCAATTGTTGAGCATTGCAGTAACTCTACCTAGAAGAGTGGAGATCCCATGAACTAAGTTCAAAGAGACAACTAAGTGATGGTCGACTGTTTAAACACTGTGGAGTTTTTAAACTCATACTCATTCCTAAGACAAGACAGTGTATTTATGAGGGTAAACATTAAGGCTTTTAATGATTTCTTAATCTGTTGTGTTCAGATGATGTATAGTGAGTTACATCACAAGAAATATGTGAGTGTGAAGTGAGGGCTGCTTCTATGAGAATTTTCAAAGGCCGATTCTCTAAAACACTCGCAGAACCAGGTAGGTGTTCCCACGACCAAAATGGGCGCAACAAAGGACCAACAATGCTAGAGAAGCAATTGTGCGACTCCTATTGTCTAGGTATACACTAAATGTTGACGGTTCAAGTCGACCTAGACCACCGATTGACCGAGTATATCCGATAGGTTTCCACTAGAGAAGGTTCAAGGATAACTCCACCTATCTCGATGCAGTTGTTTCTCGTTGAGGAAATTACACTTTGCATTTATATTCTTATGCATTTTTGTCACGATGATTTGACTTCTTATCCATGTGGGGGATTGTTGGAATTATATATATATATATATATATATATATATATATATATATATATATATATAAATTGTGTAGACAATCTATTGGTTATGAATAAGAAGTTTGGTAGTGAAAGGGTGTGTCTTTTCGTCGACAAACAGATGTATCATTTCATCCTAAAGGATGTGTTGTTTCATCCTAACGGACATGTTGTTTCATCCTTGAATGGGTGCCTTTTCGTGTTGAACGAATGTGTCTTTTCGTGTCCAACGGATGTGTTGTTTCGTCGTCGAATGGGTGCCTTTTGAAACGTAACCGGTCATTGTCTATAAATAGACACTGACACCTTCAGAAAAAGGATCCAATTTTTCTGCACTGAAACTCTGCCGAAATTTTTCTCCTTCCGGTTTTGCATGTTCCTTTTCATACTCCGGTGTAGTTTCCTCTGGCATTTTGTTGTGTTCGTTTGGGCTGTTGACTGGTAGTGCCGCCACTCTTCAGACGAAATCCGTTCTATCCTGGGAGACAAGTGTCCATCTACCTTAGGCATCAGTGAGGGGACAAATTGTCTTAAGGAGACACGTTCTGTGGGCTCGGATTTTATCCTTCTGATTTTGCATATCTGATTCATCATTCTGTCTTTCTCTAATACCTGACAAGTAAGTCTGTTTTTTTTTAATATTTTTAATTGCACTGTGACAATTCTGATCATCTACTCCCTTCTTGTTTATTCATGGGTTCAAGCCTCTTAGTGATTTAATATCACCCACCCACTGTCTTCAATAACACGCAGAACTGGTCATGAAGTGGACAAGACAAATAAATCTTCCCAAATTGATCTTGAATTTCAGTGCAGAAATATGACGAAACAAGGAAGGATGTCAGTCAATCTGAACAAGCAAAGAGGTCAAATCCCAATCAACCACATACAGAATATGGGCCTCTAGATTTTGATTGGTACTGCAAGAAGAAGAAAAAATCTGATTTCTTCAAGATGCTGGTGAAAAACTATATTGAGTTAATGGATGACAGGTGTTGGGAAGACATCGTGGATAAGAAAAAAAAAGTTATGATTTCAAGAACATGGAGGAAACTGGTTTTCTCCCCATTGTTGTGGCTATGCTTGATGGTCTATGTAATGATGGTCAGTTTAAAGAAGCCTTAAGAATTTTTGATTTCATGAAGAAGAAAGGAACCATTCCTGGGGTTGTCCTATACACAAATGTAGTGGAGCTCTACACTAAGGCCCACGAGGCTGATGATGCCAAAAGGATTTTCAGGCAAATGCGGAGTAGTGGCAATTCACCCAATGCTTTCAGTTACAATGTGCTCATACAAGGACTCTGCGAATGTAGCAGATTACAAGATGCTTTTGAATTTTGTGTGGAGATGTTAGAAGTAGGTCATTCTCCAAATGTGACAACTTTTGTGGGTCTAGTAGAGGGCTTCTGCAAGGAAAAGGGGGTTGAAGAAGCAAAGGATGCTATCAGAACATTAACAGAAAAGAGTTTTGTAGTTAAAGAGAAAGCTGTTAGGCAATTTTTGAACAAGAAAGCACCATTTTCACCCTCAGTTTGGGAGGCCATCTTTGGGAAGAAAGCCGCATAGATACCATTTTAAATTATCTTTCAGACTTCGTAAGCTTTTATCATATTTTTCTTTGGGTGCACATATTAAAATTTGCAAAAAAAAGGTTCAATTTGTGAATTGTTTATTTCTTGATAGTAAACCGTGTTTTCATTTTTAAATGTACTTGTCCCAAATTAATTAGTGTTTGGATGATTACTTCGTCAGTTCGGAAGTTCGTCTTTTCTCAGTCTAGAATACAAATTTCTTTTTAATGATTATTTATAATGATAATATTTGTTTGTTGAAATGAAACTGTTCATATTATATTGTCATCAAAATTTATTGGCTATAAAGCCCCTGAGCAGCTGGGCTTAGTTAAGGTGGTTGGGTGGGGGACAAATCCTAAAGTCCAGGTGATAGCAACTGCCTTTTGATGCGCTGCGAAGAGGTAAACAAGCATGATCGGTTCCATTTGGAAAAGTGCATTTGGGATCATGTGTGGAGAATAGATTAGCATTATTTATGTTATTTTTCATCTATGGATTTGATGATAATTATGTTATTTAGGATATTGATATGTATCCTATGTAGGTATTAGACGAGTGTCTCTTGCGTGAGATGCATATCTAAGTATGCAACTTCATCCAACTTTGTGTTGGCCTTTCTTAAAAAGCCTTCGATAAAGGATTGATATGGGGTTCTCTTGTGTACACTTGTAGCAATCATTGTAGATAAGAAAAGAGAAACACAATGAAAAAAACAATAAGTAAACGAGCTTTCAAAGTAAACGAGCTTTCAAGGAAGTGGACAAATCCAGTTCCTTGAGCGCGTCACTTTCTCTTAAAGTGAACGAGCTTTCAAAAGAAAAAGTCTGGCTTGGAAGCTGAGATCAAGGCCTTCAACAAAAATTTACCAAAGCCAAAGAGGATCTGAAGACCTCTGTTACCTTGGTTGAGGCGGCGATAAGAGAAAAGGAGCGCCAAGAGCTCCGATTAAAGAATCTTCAAGCTGAATTTGAGGAGGCTAAGGCTTTAGTGGGGAATGTAGCTGAACAATCATTTGCTAATGCAATTGAACAAGCCCAAAAGGATAGATGATGGGTCAAAGGAGTAGTAGGTACTCGAGTAGCATTAATGGTTAAGCTTACCTTAGCCTTCAATGGAGGAAAACAAAGAAATTGTGAGAGGAAAAGAGTGACCAAAAATGAAGAGAAAGAGAAGAGAGAGAGAGATCGATGAAGTGGAATGGTAAAAAGAGAGGGAATGTTTTAGATGTAAAAAGAAAATATTTTGAGTGGGGTTTTACTCTTTTCTCCATTTTGGTCTCTCCAGTCTCCATTTTTATATAGTCTAATACTAAGTATCTAGTTGGGTTTGTTCTTTGTTTAGTTAGTCCCTTGGACATGTGTCACTTATTTAATTTATATTGTGTCTCACTCATTTTGCCCAAATTGCACATTTAACCCAACATTCATACACATTACATTCACATTAACGGTGCTCATGGAAAACGCACTTTATACACATTACATTCAACAATATCCTAAAGCACTCACAATTCTCATAATTCACACACACACCCCTTATCAATATACCCATTAGACTTTGATTAGAGGAGCTAGATTCATTATTGCCAATTATTTCTTCCACTTGTTATGTGGATACAATTAATAGCTTTCTAGCTAGACATTTGTGTTCACCCCAAATAACTTATATTATATTTATATATACATTATAAAAATATTGATGAAAAATAAATTGATCTGCGGATAAGTCATAATGCAGCCTATTAAATTATTGGACTTTGAAGTTATAGATAAAAAAGATCCTAAAAAAAAAAAAAAAACTGCAATGAATTAGGACCATATAAAATTTTGCAGCCAAGAGCCCCGACCATTTTTATATCCCTGGGCACAACTTCCAAATGTCCTTAGTCAGTGTCTATGACTGTCATTTGAGCCAGTTTAATGTTTGAGCTTTCAAAAATTAAATGCACAACATGCAATTGAAGGCAGAGAGACGTGCATGGGTGGAATTAAACTTAATTTTTTGAAAAATAAATTGAATTGGTTTAAACTATTCGGTTTAATTTAAAATCGGTTCGGTTCGAAACTGGTTTGGATCGACCCTATCGTGAAAAGAAAAGATTAAAAAAATAAAGAAAAAATAATAAAAAATGATTCGATTCGAAAACGATTCAGTTCGATTCGAAAATGATTTAGTTTGATTCAGTTCTTGAACTAATTTTAAAAATCAGTTCGGTTCATTAAATTGTTTTGTAAAAGCTAATTCGGTTATGAATTAATTTTTAAAAAACATAATTTTAAATATAATTCAATTCAATTTTTTATTATTATTATTTTGCATATCCCTAACTGCAGACGTGCTAAAACTCAGCCACGACGTTGATGTTCTATTTATCTTGGCAGAGCCCCTCCTTGCCCCATGAACGCTGCCCTTGTTACTACTTACTGTAGCATCATTTGGGCTTCATCATTCCCAAAAAGCTTGCAAGGATTCTATAACATATTTACACATATATTATTATTATTATTATTTTTGTAAACTACACGTATATTATTCACAATTACATAAATCTCTATCATTGATTATAACTAATCTCAGTCTAATTACAAAAAATTAAATTAATATGAACCTTATCTTTCAAGAATTGCATGTGTACAAAACTTATTTCGCCGTCAGGAAAATGTGAGGTCATTTGAGTAATTTGATATGACTTTGAGGACACCAAGCAACCAACCTGGTCTGTTAGTTTGTCACTAAAAAAAGTCCCACCGGCGGAACTAACTCCGTCTCCGCCGTCATGTCTATGTCCTCCGCCATCGCTCTCGGCGGAGCAACCGCCGCGAAACCCCTGGTATTACCCGAAAAGCACCGTGGTGGATTCCCCAAGTTCACCTGTTGGGCACCCACGAAGAGAATTGAATCCCTCAATGGCTCAGCTTCTCTCCGTTCCCACTCACTGCCCCGTCTTCGGGTTTCTTCCAACGATGCCCAGTTCAATTCGGTTCCCGAGGAGAACCAACTGCAACAGCAAAAGCACCAGCGCCAACAGCAACTACCGAGTTTCACTGAGTTCATTACTTCGGAGAGAGTCAAAGTGGTGGCGATGATTGCTCTCGCTCTCGCTCTCTGCAACGCAGATCGCGTCGTCATGTCGGTGGCCATAGTGCCCTTGTCGCTCGCCAACGGATGGAGCCGGGCTTTCTCTGGAATTGTTCAGGTGCACACCAAGTGTTTGATGAATTGATTCTGCTGAGATTTTTTTTTTTTTTTTTTGGGAATTGGGTTGGTTATTGATTGATGATTTGATGGTTATGGTGCAGTCGTCTTTTCTGTGGGGGTATCTGGTTTCTCCTATTGCTGGAGGGGTGTTGGTGGATAACTATGGTGGCAAAGTGGTTATGGCTTGGGGTGTGGCCTTGTGGTCACTAGCTACTTTTCTTACTCCCTGGGCTGCAGAGACCTCCATTTTGGCTCTACTTTCCGTGCGTGCTTTGCTTGGCATGGCCGAAGGAGTAGCTCTTCCTTCCATGAATAACATGGTAGCCAGGTATTTTCAAATTTCAATGATGCCCTTTGATTTTCACTTCATGATGATTGTATGAAGCTGCTGGAGCAAGAAATTCTTGATGTTGATCATGACCCATTTTGGGTTCTTCCCTTTAGATGGTTTCCTCAAACTGAAAGGGCAAGGGCTGTTGGAATTTCAATGGCTGGATTTCAGCTTGGATGTGCGATAGGGCTTACGCTTTCTCCTATTCTTATGTCCCAAGGTGGTATATTTGGTCCATTTGTGATTTTTGGATTGTCTGGGTTTCTTTGGGTGTTGGTGTGGTTGTCTGCAACATCAAGCACTCCTGACGGAAGTCCTCAGATATCAAAATATGAGCTGGAGTATATATTGAATAGAAGGCAAAAGTCTTTTTCAGTGGAGACAGCTAAACCCAAGAAAGTTAAATTGATCCCTCCATTCAGGCGCTTGCTTTCAAAGCTTCCAACATGGTCTCTAATTGTTGCAAATTCCATGCATAGCTGGGTAATGCTTCAAATTCATATCATCTATATAATTTTTTTGCTGGTGTTCTTAATTTAAGCTGATAATTGTCATATTTGATAGAAAATTGCCATTTGTTATACCCCTGGATTCACCTATTTTATTGCATGAGGTAATCCTGACCTTCTGTTCCCATTCCCCAATAGAAAAATTTAAAATAAGTTCCTTAAATGTGGCTCAGGAACCCACATCATGCTGTTTGTGTTTTTAGTCATGCAATATCATATTTGTTGCCCTTTACTTTTTTCCTTTTTTCACAGGGATTTTTTATTGTTCTTTCTTGGATGCCCATATACTTCAACTCAGTAAGGCTTATCATATTTAGCTTTGTGATTGTCAAATGTCAAGTAACAAAATGATTTGAAATAACACTTAATAAACCATGTATAAATTATTTTCAATTACAGGTGTATCATGTGGATCTCAGGCATGCAGCATGGTTTAGTGCCATTCCATGGGCTGTGATGGCTATCATGAGTTACCTCGCTGGCTTGTGGTCAGATATGATGATACAAAGCGGTACAAGTGTTACTTTGACTCGTAAGATTATGCAGGTATGTCACATATATTAGAAAAGAGAGGAGAGACATCTAACATTTTCTGGAAGAGTAGACTCTAAATTATCCTTCGATCCTGAGGAAATGTGAAATTGTCAATTACAAACTTTCATTTCTAGTTTAGTTAGAAAGTGCATTTCTTTACAGTAGTAATGTTGTAAGCACACTCCTCCAGGAGTATCTTTGGGAGAATTTGAGGCAGAGACAACCTGACTGGCTATGTATGGATTAGGAGCTGAGTAACTGCAATGAGTGATTATTTGGTCCTTATGCGTAAATATCTTGCTAGGCTGGTCCCTATCTCAAGTTCTTCCAATATCTTACCTCTTTATTTTATCAAATTTTTAATTTTATTTTTGTTTAGTTGTCACCTTTTAAGTGTAAGGGCATTGAGAAATAAGCTGTTAATTACAAGTTTGTCGTTGTTGTTGGAGACTTATAGCAAATTTAGCAATGGGAAATAAGTGCTTTTGAAACATGAAAGCACTTGGTGGTGTATTTTAAAGTTGGGATCATGTATTTCAAGTCTTTGGTCTTGGACAGAATTACAATGGCATTATTTCCCACCTAGTGGGAAAAGACTTTGGTTGTTATTTTATAGTTTTCTTAATTTTTTTCTACTCATATCGGTTTGGGTTTGGTTCTTCTCTCTGTATATTGGTTTTAACTGATAATGCTTATTCTGCAGTCTATTGGTTTTGTTGGTCCTGGACTTTGCCTCATCGGTTTAGCAACAGCAAAAAATCCCTCAATTGGTTCTGCTTGGCTTACTTTAGCCTTTGGCCTGAAATCTTTCAGTCACTCTGGTTTTCTTGTGAACCTTCAGGTTTCTGATTTCAGTCATGTAAAAGTAAAACTTCTGGTTAGATGTTTTCTCACTGTAATATAATATTCTCTTTCTTTATTATCACAGGAGATTGCACCTCAGTATTCTGGTGTTTTACATGGTATGATTTCATCTTTATCTCATAAACTTGTGGGGATTGTATATATTTTGGTGTTCGAAAACACATTTAACGACATTGGTAATGCATTTTCATTATTAAATACATTTGAAATGGTTTTGAGCCTTTATTATGTTATATCTATGTGTGGTGTGTGCTAAAAGGTAAATTGGTAGCTATGATCCTTGGTCTAGCACTAGGCAATTCCTTTAACTAGTGTAGGAGCTAAATTGAGGAGCTTCTCTCTCGTGCTTTTTAACCTATTGGAATATAATTGGTGAAGCTGTTCTATGGTCGTATAAAGCACCTGACAATGCCCTTCACGAAATTTCATTAAGCTAGGGTAGATAAGATATGGGCAGTTACCTATTGGGCTTGAGTTTTAACGGGCAATCAAACTTTTACTGCTTGATTGTGGCTTGTGAAGGGGAAATAGAGTGAAATATGTGTAAGATCTGGTAAACTGAGAAAATATTTGTCTTTGTACGATCTTCTCTTATAATTAAGACTTCTTGATTTCTTGTTCTAGGAATTTCAAATACTGCTGGAACATTGGCTGCTATAATTGGAACAGTTGGAGCTGGTTTTTTTGTTGAGCTAGTTGGTTCCTTCCCAGGATTTTTGTTGCTTACATCACTCCTTTATTTTCTTGCTGCTCTTTTCTACTGCCTATTCTCTACTGGAGAAAGAGTAAATTTTGATGATCCTGGTGAGTATAAATGCACGGTACATTTATCTTTCACGTGAGAGGTGAGAGGAGATAATATTAACCATTCAATCTTACATGGATGGTCAAGATTGGTTTTACTTGAATCTAATTTTCACCGTTCATGTAAAAATTATATGGTCAAGATTAGCTCATCTCACCTCTCTCATGCTCTTGCTTGATACGCCTCTTATATATATGTCATATGCGTGCGTGTGTATGTTTTACAGAATGTTTTTTTTATGTTAAAATCACTTTATATGAGTTTCTAATTCTCGTTATTATAAATGTTGGACTCCTATTAATTGGTAACGCTCTGGACAGTTGGCCGACAAGTACCGGAAACTACCTAGTGTACTGTACAGTTGAGTTTCTTGTATATGAAAGAAGATTAGCTAAGAACAGAAGCTATAGTTACATTTTCTAACTGTCATGTCCTGTAAAAGAGACACTAACCAGTTACCTGGTGTAAAATCATTGTTGTATAGTTGTATTTTTCTTTCCCTTATGCATTGAGGGTTTCTATTTTGGAAAAAGCTATGAAGCGAGCTGCTTTTGAAGTAAGAAACACTGCATTCACCTTTATATTTTAACGAGTTAAGATTACGATTTACTTTAAATCAAATCAAAGATAGATATATTTTTATTTATTTACCTTAAAGACAAGTTCATTTTAAATGAGCTTTTGTCCCTCTATTCTGGGTGCTTTTGGAGTTTTAGGTTTTCTCGTGTGTGTGGATTATGTTAAAAAAAAAAAAGAGAACATGAATAAAAGAGAAAAATATTTACGTAAAAGAAAAAGAAAAAAAAAAGAGAAAAATAGATTCAATATTAGGGTTTCTTTTTTGTTTTCTTTGCCGCTTTGCAAACCATAGATATTAAAATCGGACCAATTCGGTCGGGTCGATTCGGGAACTGGTAAACCGATCATATAATTGGTTCGGTTGAAGCAACGGATCGGCTATGCATCAGAACTGGTGCAACTCGGTCCGATCTGACCAGTTTTCATAAAAATCGGTGACCCAGTATTTCGCCCCGGTCCTAAAAAAATATAATGGACATATTTGAATATTTTTTTTCTTATTGACGTATATAAGTTATGTACCTACAATACTAATATTATCTCAATAGTTTATTAGGCAGAAAATTTTGATTTGATTTATAGTTAGAGATGTCATTTTCTGAATCTAAAATCCTGTATCACGATCATTATATTTTTATTTGATCCTTTATTGGATAATAGTACGTGATTTATTATTTTTTATATTAAAATATTTGAAATTTTTATCATTTTTTTTAGATATCTGAGTATGTTTATAATTTTTTAATATAAATTATAGAATTACATATAATTAGTGGGTCATGCTATTGAACCAGTGATCTACTGGTTGAATCAGTGACCCACTGACCCAGTAACTTGATCGGGTCAATAACTGAGTCGGTTTTATAACATTGCTCCAAACTCAACTTGAAAATGCTTTTTACGCTTCCAACCATTGTATTCATCCTCAGTTCCTCACTTAGGTGCTTCGGTTTCTTCTACATTTTGGCTGTACTTGGTTTGAGTAGATGGAAAATATAGTGGAAAATAAAATGGGATAGGTTATTCTGCCTACTCCTATTTTGCCTACTTTTATCTACTCATTTCAATACCGTTCGATTACAAATTTATCCAAGGACAGATATTTGCGGAATAAAATAAACTTTTTTTTCCTTTTCTTTCTCTCTCTCCTCCTTTGTCTCTCATCCCTTGGTTGAATTTTCTCTCCTTTGCTTTTTGCGTGAAAAAATAATTCTTGTCTGACAGTTAAAGAATCACTGGTGTGGGGGTTAATATTGGGAGTTTCTGAATTTCGTGTTTGATTGGAGTTTATTGCTTTAGAATTGGCTCTGTTTGAAATTGTGTTTTTGGATTCATGGTCTCTGCTTTAAGAAACAGGTTATAAGATGGAATTGGGTGTGTGCCTATGAAGAGAAGTTACACAAACAACTATTTTCGTAACCAAGTTTTCACGTCCCACCATACATATTATTTCTTTTTTTTTCTAAAAAAGATTAATTTATGTGAATTATCAATGAAAAAAATTACATCATCAATACAACAACATCGAAACAAAATACAAATAAACACAAAACACAATACAACAACATCCAAGCATTCAAATAAACGAATCAGATCCCAACACATCCTTCATCATTTCTATATGCTCAGTGAAATTAAGTAAGACCCGCTCTAAGAACCCTAAGGAATAAGCACATGTTGGATATTTTTGGTTAGGGATAGGCAAAATGAGATTTTTTAATTGACAATCATGTGTGTTTTTTGTTTTTTTTTATCGAGTTTACACTTACGGAGAAAGGCTTGGTTACGAAAATCTGCTCATTTTATAACCTGCTCATCTTTTTGTGAAAGGCTTGGTTTTTTTGTTCTTTTTTCGATCGTATGAATTAAAATCATTTTTTGTTTTTAGTAGCTCAATCTTTTTTTTATCGATTGAAACAGGTTATAAGACGGAATTGGGTGTATGCCTATGAAGAAATGATTTTGGTTATCGGAATTTTTCAATCTTGGTTGCGGAGGAAGAGAGAAATGGGAGGAGAGAAAAAGGATGTGGGAGAAAGAAAAGGGAAAAATATTTATTTTATTCGACAAATATCTATCGTAGGATGAGATTGTAATCAAACAGTGTTAAAAGGGTAGGCAAAGATAGGCAAAATAAGAATAGGTAGAATAACCTATCTTATATATATATTGCAGCATGTTTTAAATATATATGTACAACCAATATAAAAATATATATAAATATTATAATTAAAATACTAATTTTTTTTAAAAATATGAATAGTTAATGCAAAAAAAAAAACTTAAATTTTAAATTTAATAAAAAATTTAAAAATAACATCCGTCATTCTCTATAAAACAAATTGTACAAATTTAATCATTATAAAATGCAAATTTTAATTTATTATAACAATGATTTTTCTTTATTTTTGTATGACTTTTATAATGTATCCTTTGTATATTCTTTTTAATTCTTTTTTTTTCAAGAGAAATTAAATAATATTCAAAACTTATTTCGATAAAACTTTCAAAAAATTAATATGCTTTAAATGTAAATAAACTATTGAAATTTCAAAAACATCTCATAATAAAGGAAAATAAATTGTGAAATTGTGCAAATAACCTAAAACTTCTGTTTGTTTATTATTTATGTTTCTTTATATTTCCATCTTCTCAAGCTCTTTATATTTCCATCTTCCCAAGCTCTACTTGTGTAATATTTATGTTAAAATTTGAAATATTAATTTCATTATTTAGTTTCAAATAAGACTAATTCCCTCGAGGTAGAGTGATCACGCGATTGTGGATACAACCTCCCCTAATAAAGCTTTTTCTATACACACGATCAAGGATTAAACCCCTGTCAACATATTTAAAGGACTCAACTATCTACCAACTATGTTGTGTTTTGTTAGTACTTAGTCATACTAGTTTTTCATACATAAAGTATGAAGGTTTTTTCCACTAACCCTAAATTGTCACTATTCTTAAGGATTTCAAATATGGTGTATTTGCTTATTCATTTGGATGCTGAATATTATTATTTAATTTATTTGGCTTTTTTCTTGTGATATAGTAGAAACTTTTATCAAATTATATTAATTTTAAATTAAATTACCTTTTTAAATATGATGAATCTTGAATAAATTATTCATGAAACAATATATATATATATATATATATATATATATATATATATATATATATATATATATATTGAAGAGAAAGCTTATTCTTAAAACATTTTTCGCTTACAACCAAATCTTAATAGTTAATTTCCATCAATCTGACGGTTATAATTTATTGAGAATTAATAATTAATTAATAAATGTGACTCAATAAATTATAACCATTAGATTGAAAAAATTTAACGATTAAAATATAATTGTTACAGATTATAAGCGAAAAAAATTATAAGAACAAGGTTCCTCTTCTTTGAAATAGAGAAAATATGAAATTTATCCATGTATGATTTATCATATACAGATATGATGAGATTCGATATCAATATAATAAAAGTGGAAAAACACGTTTTAAAAAGAATCCAATAAATAAAAAAATAATTTTATTTTTAAAAGATCCGAAATAAGGAAAAATTTATATTTTATCTTCACACAAAAATTTGTTCACTTTAAATCGACGGTAGTCTAAGAAGATGACTATGCGCTAACTGGTAACGTACACCACTCTTCTCGAGGCTTGCGTTTCCTGGAAGCACCTGAAGAATCTCGAATGCATTCACCCAAAACAATGTAGGAATCTAAAACAGTTTAAGACAAGGAACTCTCGAAAACAAGAAAGGCCAGCTACAAAGGAGAACAATGAAGTCATATGTTAGGGTTTAGTTTGATTTCTATTCTTAAAAATAGATTTTTAATTTTTCAAATAGAAAAATTATTTGGAAAAAAAGGTTTTATAAGAATAACTCTCAAAATAATAATTTTTTTTTAATTTTTAAAATTAAAAATGAAAAAATTTCTAAGAATGTTCTAAAAAATTATTTGGTTTTATTATTTCTACCGTAAGAATTTTGTAATTATAAGAATTTATTAATAGTATTTTTGCAAATAATTTTTTCCAATTTTAAATTACGCTATATAAGGTGATAATATTGTAATTATGAAAATTCATTAATGATATTTTTATAAATAAATATAACTTCTTTATAAATTTCAATCTAACAATATTCGAACAAATAAATTTTAATATATTTTTACTCTTAAAATTAATTGTCAAAATTTATGTTCAAAGCAGATTTTAAATAAAAAAAAAAAAAAAAAATCATATCCCAAACACTTCCCTCCAGCCTTTGCTTTTGGATTACTTTCATTACCATGTTCAGAGTTAAACCATTTAAGTGCACTGGAAAAAAAAAAGTTAAACCATTTAGACTTTTTCCCCCCTGGTAATTGTAAAAACAAATCGAAGGAGAATCTTGGAGCAAGTGAACAGTGATAAGTATCACCGAAGATTACGCAGGAATAAGTTCCGTTTTTATTTTACTAATTAATTTTCTTAATATTTTCGTATTTAATTTAATTTCCAGATTTTCGAAATTAGTGGATGTATCGCTGATCCGTTTGTTTCTTCTTAGTTTTTATTTCTCATTTTTTTTCTTCCTTTTACTGCATTCTATATTTTTTATATGATATGAGAGGTAAGTAGATAACCCTAAACCCCAAGAGTGCATGAGTCCTTGCAATTTGGTGATGGGGAAAGGCGATTTGATAAATTTGTACGCGACTCTTGTGGAGGGTTGCTCTCCTTGGAAGCACGCGAAGAATACCAAAGGCATCCCCCTGAAGAATGCGGAACACTTTCATATCAGGAATCTTAAACGCATCCATGCGCGAACCGTAACCCTAGGCATTTCAGGCAATCACTTCATACAAAGCAAGCTTGTAGATAGCTACGCTTCCTGTTCCCAATTGCGCCAAGCCTACATCATCTTCTCCTTCACCGATCGCCGCAGCACTTTCCTCTTCAACTCCCTCATCAGAGCCTATTACTCTCTCGGCTATTACACCCAATCCATTTACCTCTTTCGTCAAATGCTTCTTGCCCATATACCCTTCAATCGCTATACTTTTCCCCCGTTGCTCAAATCTTGCGCTAAAATTGAGTTTGGTTTTCCATGCCCACGGTTAGTGAATCAAATCCACTGAACCATTGTGGTTAATGGGTTTGCCTCAGATTTGACTATTTCAAATGCTTTGTTATTTGCGAATACTAGATGCCCGTATGAATTGCTTAAACGTGGGCGCAAGTTGTTTGACACAATGTTGGAAAAGAATGTGATTACGTGGTCAATGATGATGAAGGATGATCAAGAGGTGGATAAACTGTTTGATAGAATGATAGAGGCAGGTGAGAGACCAAATGAGTGACTTTTTATACAATTTTGAGAGCATGTAATGAGAAAGAACGCCGCGTGGAAAAGGGATGGGAATACTCTGACATGATGGAGGAGAGGTTTGGGCTGAAACCTAGGGCTGGACATTATGCAAAAATGGTGGATATGCTGGGTTGGGTTGGCCGAGTGAAGGAAGCAGCTATGTTAATGTTGAGAATGAGAAGAGAGGAGGTTGAGCCCAATGACACTGCGTGGAGTAGCTTTCGTTGGTCCTGTAATTTTCATAGGAAGATGGAGTTGTATAAGTTAGTTGAATTTATTTTAAAGTATTATGAGACCAAGGCAAACTACCATATAGGCAGATGAGTACTGACGACTCTATGTATGGCTACTCTAGATATGATGTCCCTTATTGGAGTGATCTTTCTATGATAATGATGATTAGGTCAAGAAAATTTCTTCCAATTAGGGAACACTTCTTGAGTCCGGAATATCAAAGCATGCGTAGTGCAATGTGGCATATTGAAAAAGAGCGTTGCAATTATCTCTCCTTATTTACTCCTCATCTCTATTTATTCTCATTTGGTTCTGCTCGCTGCTTCCCTGGATTCCCTCGACTCAATCAAGTTACCCGATGTGTTTGTGCTTCCAAGCGTACCCGATGTGCACTGTCTCCAGATTTTTTGACTTATTGGTGGTAAATATTGAAATCTAAAGAGAGACATGAAGGGCTCAGGATGGGGTTGGTTTGATGCTTCTTCTTTTTTTTCTTCTTCTTCTTCTTTATATTTTGGTAATCCTCTCACGTTAAGTTTTTCTTTTTGTGTCTTTTTTTAATCATTTTATGTCAACCTCCCTTTTTATATTATTCATTTATTTTAATCTGTTTGATTATGAAACTTTTGGAGTTTTATAGTTTTATTTCCAAGTTCGGTTTTGACATTTACAAATAAATCACACGAGCTTTCATAATTCATATATAACAAAATCATTTAAATTCTTTTAACTATTTTTAATAAATAGCTCTTCTCATTCAATAAATAAATTTGAATGGGGATTATAGATACATATAGGTTTAGTACGTGTTTCTCCAAATACAGTTCAAAATGTTCTAATTTATCTGGTGAGAGTTTTGGCATTTATTTAATATTAGTTAAATTAATTAGATTGAATAACTAATTGGCTTTATTTTTTATATTTACTTAACTGCTTTTATTTGAGAATTAAGGCAGATGCGATGCTCTGACAAAAAGAAGAACCCACCAGGAAATATTTTTAAGGATAATTTAATTGTTAACCAGTTGAGGTCACTTGAAAAAAAGTGGACTAGAAATAATTATGTAATCAGTTTTCGAAAGAGAGAAGCTTGACTTTTTATAGGATCGATGTGGCAGATCGATGTATAAAGTTTTTGTTTTTCAAATTTTTTTATTCTTTTGATTTTGACCCTTTCAAATACATACTCCACGCAAGGCTGCGGACGATCGAAATTCTGATATCAGATATATAGTTAAATCAATTTAAACCATGTGACTGGATCCATTTTAGAGTAATTCATATCTGAGTCCAACAAAAAATTAAAAATGAAAAAAGAAAAGAAAAAAAGACTTAACTCTGGTGGTTAAAAAATAACTTTTTCATGCTATTTTATCATTTCTCTTTAATTTAGTTGGAGTCTAACCGGGGGGGGGGGGTCATTTATTGAATGTCGCCTATTTCTTATCTGTTCATAATTGTAAGCGATTATCTAGGCATCATTGTGTTTTCGATTGACCTTTTGGATGCTTATATAATCATAATTAAAATTAAACTAACTTCATTTTCCATCAGTATTATATATTTTTTATCCATTCGTATGCTTCTTCTGTAACATATAAGATAATGTATAGTTGTTTAGTTCTAACAAATCCTTTCAGTGTCTCACATATAGTTGTATAGTTGTTATAGGATAGATATCATTATATCAATATCCTAAATAACATAATTATCATCAAATCCATAGATGAAAAATAACATAAATAATGCTAATCTATTCTGCACACATGATCCCAAATGCACTGTTCCAAATGGAATCGATCATGCTTGTTTACCTCTTTGCAACGCATCAAAAGGTAGTTGCTATCACTTGGACTTTAGGATTTGTCCCCCACCCAACTGCTCAGGGGCTTTATAGCCAATAAATTTTGATCACAATATATTATGAACAGTTTCATTTCAACAAACAAATATTATATCATTATAAAATAATCATTAAAAAGAAATTTGTATTCTAGACTGAGAAAAGTCGAATTTCCGAACTGACGAAGTAATCATCCAAACACTAATTAAATTGGGACAAGTACATTTAAAAATGAAAACACGGTTTACTATCAAGAAATAAACAATTCACAAATCGAACCTTTTTCTTGCAAATTTTAATATGTGCACCCAAAGAAAAATATGATAAAAGCTTACGAAGTCTGAAAGATAATTTAAAATGGTCTCTATGCGGCTTTCTTCCCAAAGATGGCCTCCCAAACTGAGGGTGAAAATGGTGCTTTCTTGTTCAAAAATTACCTAACAGCTTTCTCTTTAACTACAAAACCCTTTTCTGTTAATGTTCTGATAGCATCCTTCGCTTCTTCAACCCCCTTTTCCTTGCAGAAACCCTCTACTAGACCCACAAAAGTTGTCACATTTGGAGAATGACCTGCTTCTAACATCTCCACATAAAATTCAAAAGCATCTTGTAATCTGCTACATTCGCAGAGTCCTTGTATGAGCACATTGTAACTGAAAGCATTGGGTGAAATGCCACTACTCTGCATTTTCCTGAAAATCCTTTTGGCATCATCAGCCTCGTGGGCCTTAGTGTAGGCCTCCACTACATTTGTGTATAGGACAACCCCAGGAATGGTTCCCTTCTTCTTCATGAAACCAAAAATTCTTAAGGCTTCTTTAAATTGACCATCATTACATAGACCATCAAGCATAGCCACAGCAATGGGGAGAAAACCATTTTCCTCCATGTTCTTGAAATCATAACTTTTTTTTTTCTTATCCTCGATGTCTTCCCAAAACCTGTCATCCATTAACTCAATATAGTTTTCCCCCAGCATCGTGAAGAAATCAGATTTTTTCTTCTTCTTGCAGTACCAATCAAAATCTAGAGGCCCATATTCTGTATGTGGTTGATTGGGAGTTGACCTCTTTGCTTCTTCAGATTGACTGACATCCCTCCTTGTTTCTGTCATATTTCTGCCCTGAAATTCAAGATCAATTTGGGAAGAGTTATTTGTCTTGTCCACTTCATGACCAGTTCTGCCATGGTTACCAAATCTTGGAGGGAAGGAATGGAAACGTCTATTATATTCTGTGATGGGTTTTTTTATGCTGCCACCATGGTCATCAGTGAAGCTAAAATGGCGTACAGTCTTGAGCCATAGTGACAGAGAATTTTTGGAATGTAGAAGGGAAACTAGCCTATCAATCCTGGAGGATGATGATACAAGCACATGAAACCGCCCTAGTACTGATGCTGGCATGGTGAACCTGTTCCACATTAAAAATAATAAATAAATCAACAGGAAAGGCATGATGGATATATACTAAGAGAAACAAATGTTAAATAATCAAGTAACAAATCAAGCAAATTATGATGGGAAAAAGAATGAAGAGATGGTTATCATCATAAAGTGCCCACAATTTACATTTACAATTTGCTTTGTATTCAATATTGACTATTTAGCTATCTGCAACTGATGCTAGGATTGAATCAAAGCCACTCTCAAAACCCGTAAGTCATCGAAATTGAATGAAAAACGGTATTAAATCATGGAATAGAGGCAACAGCCAAAGAATGAGGGCAAACTAATAATAATGTAAAAGCTATAAATTATATATATATTTTTTTCAAATAGTAAAGTTGTAAACTACACAAATGCAAACTCTTTTAAATTAACTAAAGCAAAGCAAAGAGTGCAAATTGTAACATTTGATACACAACCAATAAGCAAAATAATGTAAGCAAAATGAGATTTAATAAACATATTTTAAAGGAATAAAATGTCGTACACGAAACGGTATCGCTGAATAGACTGACGCTGGTGAGTTGTGAGTGACTGAGTGAGTATGAAGATGGGAAGGGAAAAAAAACTTATTTTCAGACTTACCTCTCGCACTCGAAATTAGTTACCTAGCCAATTTAAAGAAGTAAAGTTGCTGAGGATAACGGAAGCAAACTCGCTAACTAGGTTTAGTATGAAAAAAAAAGGAGGGAATGGGAAAAGGGCAACAATACAGCCTAACACGACCACGAATCGACCTAGGCCTGGGCTCGGGCCCAGTTTCTGGGACCCGCTACGCAAAGTTGTAATATCACAATTTTTTGGTGTGTCTTTTTTTTATCAAAAAACAAAATAAAAAATAAAGCCCGTAATGCCATGATTGGTTATTTAAGTTGAAGTGGATCAAGATCAAATATAGAATGTTACCTATGAATTTTATTAAATAAAAATTGAAAGGATAAAAAAATACAGCATAAAAAATAACAAATAATAACTTTTATATGAAACAAATTGAATGTCTACTCTTCATCTTTCCATAGGTAACATTCTATATTTGAAATTAAGAAAAAGCATTTCAAATCATAATCTTCGGATAGATGTGTACTTTGAAGACATTTAGTGGGAGGTGTATCCATTAAGAAAACGAATGCTTTCGTGCATCTACAATTTTATATTTTTAATATTTAGATTTTAGATTTTTAATTTTTTTTTTAATAGCTTTAAGAATTAAGGTTACAACGAGGGTATGCTTGGCATTACGAGTTTTTCGACAAGAGGTGAGAACTACAATAAACACATCTAACTATTATTATCTGTTTCATGTGTTTTGAACTGTATTGAACTAATCAGTATCAAAAAAAAAATTGTTATTGACATCAATTTTTTTGTGACAGTAGGAACAAAAGCGAGACAATAACGCCTAGGACTATGGTGTTTGAAAACCCAGAGGCATCGTGGAACTTTAAGAGAAGAACTTAGTCTAATTTCTCTTTTATTGATCATATCCAGTTCTGAAAACACAAACTGAATATGTAGGAAATGATTTAAAGGGCTTCTACAACTGATTCTGTTACACTGATTTGTAACAGCACTAACAAACTAACTTGGGGATGCTGGAGCATAAGCTGAGCAAGATCCAGCACCTTAAGTTTATCTTTAAGCTCTGAAAATGAGGGGCTGAGAGAGATTTAGTGAAGGTCCTTATTCCATCTAACACTGGGCACAGCTTAATATAAATGGACAAGAATTTAGTATCATATCTGAATTAATCTCACTCTTGTTCGGCTATAATCAATCCAGTAAAGGTGAATAACAGCAGTTTGAAAGCAAGAGAGCAGAGACATAAGTGAGCATGAAGGAATCAATAAATTTAGATTTTAAATTGCGGTAAGTGAAAACAAGACTATTTTCAACAAAAGGAGCACTATCAGAAATATGCATTTCAGACGAAAGAAACTCTATGAAGATAGCATACATAATTTAAATCATCTAGCTAGGACTAACAAATTCAAATCAGGGATGCCGAATGCTCTGATTGAACATAAAATCTTTTGGAGGCATATAATCTCACTCTTAATTTTTCTTTTTCTTTTTCTTTTGGAGGCATGGTTGTATTTCATTTTTATCATTATTATTAATTATGGTGTTGGTGATCCACAATTAGATATATAATAGAGAGTGAAAGGGGAGAGGAATAAAAAAGCATTGCAATTTGCATATATAATAACAAAGAAAACGTATGCGGATGTAAACAGTTATAGAGCTGAACATGAATGATAAAATATTTTGTGTATTGATAATATTAACTAGATTTATTTATAGATCAAAATACTAACCAGGTACTAACCCAGCTCATTCATCTGCTCAAACAGTTGCAAGGCTTCATCTCCCATAGTATTATTTGCGTAGCAGCAAAGCATCAAGTGCCAAGAGTCCATATTCCTATTAGGCATATGATCAAACACTCTGCATGCATCAGTCATGCTTTTACAATTCACATACATCTCAATCACCTTGTTCTTTAACTTGAGATCACTCCTATAAGTAGACTGTAGAAAGTAATCATGGGCCTTCTTGGCAACCTCAAGGGATTTCAATTGGCCACACAAGTCAAAAAGAAGATCAAAGCAACTAGCATCAGCTTTGACCCCTTGGTCCATCAATGCAATCGCTTCTTTAACCTTCCCCAGTTGGCACAAACGTGTCAAATCACTGATTGAAGGCGGAGATGTAGAACCTTGAAGGCGGAGATGTGGGAACCCATGAGTCCGAGGGTTCCACTGGTTGGGGTTAGGGGGGTTTTGATCGTTCCATCGATTAGGGTTTGTGGGTGGCTGAAAGTTGGGATTTTGAGAAGTGGGTGGCGCTTGATGTTTAGGATTCCAATGATTTAGGTTTCGCCGCTGCTCAGGAAATCGACCAGGAATATTGTGTTTGTGGGGTTCATGGTTTTGGTAAGCAAATTGATTTGAAGGGGCAGGGCTTCCACTCTGGTTTTGAATATGTGGGTTTAAATGTTGAGGAGAATGGCCCTGACGTTGTTGCCATTGACCCTGAAATGGTGTGTGATCAGAGGGTGGTTGCTGTGGAGGGAATCTCCCATAATCGTTTGGAACCGCAGAGGTACACAAAGATTTTGTAATCAGGGTTTTGCTGCAGTAGTTGGGATGGATAAACAGTGTCCGTAGCTTGAAGGAAGAAGAGAACATTGTAGATCGTGCACGCTCAATCAATGGGAACATCACCATGACTGAGTGAAACTGTGGAAGGAGCAATTATTTAGGGAGTAAATACCCTTTTTCGTTCCTGGAAATTTTTGCGAAGCACAATTTTGTCCCTCGGTTTAGAAAAGTCACATTTCAGTGTCTGATTTTGGAAAAAAAGGGACACGTTTATCCTTCTATTAAATCCAATGTGACGGCCCACTTGACGGACGCCAGCTGGAACGTTAAGTGGCTGAGTCACTAACGTCCTGGCCACGTGGAGAGAAAGGAACGACGTCGTATTACATTGGAAGGCTGTATCAGGTGTGTAGAAAGGGAACGACGTCGTTTGAGGAATGCCATGTGAGTTGAACCTTTGTTGTTGACTCAGTTGACACAGTCACACAAGTAAGTCGTCCATACCCGGCATTTCCTCCCCCATTTCCTCAGATCGTGATCTTCATTTGCGGTGAAGGTTGGTGACCCAGGGTGCTTTGTCGATGTACGTGGCTTCTGAAGTTGCAAGCTTTTGGAAGTAGTGTGGTTTAGGGTGAAGATCCTTAAATCGGTTGCGTCTCTGGTTACATTCGTGCAAGGTACGTGAGATTCTTTCCTTTCTTTATTATTTGTGGTCCCTCTTTCCTATTTAAAATGGTGTTAAAATGGTGTTTAAAAATGTCATTTGTCCGTCAAGTGGTCCCCCATGTGCGGTTAAGGGCAAGACATGGTTAGGGTTTTTTTTTATGTGGTCCCCTTTGGTAGAATATTTTTGGAACCATTAATTGCATGTGGTCCCCCTGTTGTTATTTTATGTTGCTATGTGTAGTGATTACAAAAAAAGCCCCAATTTGTTAGCAATGCAGCCATTTAAAATAATCGAGTTTGTTACTTTTATGACAGTGTCTAATATTGATAAAAATTGATTAGTTGTATGAAATTGTAAATTAATATGATGGTAGTGTAAAAAATGATTATGTTCTATTTTATATGCAGATGGATGAGTATATAGTCATGAGATATCATCAAGGGGGTGTGTTGGTTAGGAATGATGAAGGGAAGCTGAATTATGTGAATGGGAGAGTGGATGATTTACCAGAAATGGATGCAGACTATGTAAACCTTTGTGACCTTGAAGCTCTGTTCAAGGGGTATGGTTACCACAAATGTAGGCGGATGTGGTGGTTGAAGAATGGTGAGAGTGATTTAGAGGTTGGGTTGCATCTTCTTGAAAAGGATTCTGATGTTTTGCAAATGGTCAAGGCTGCCTTAAGTAATGGGAACAAAATAGACATATATTTTGATGGTTGCATTGCAATTCCTGAGATTTTGGGTGGGCCTGCAGATCCAACTCCTCCTGAAAGTGCTGATGAGGAGGGGGTATTAGGTGATTCAGTTGACAGTTTGTCTGACTCCCATATGACTCATGATGATGACTATGAAGAGGGGGAGGGCAATGGACTGTCAAGTGATTCATATGACAGTGTAGAAGACGAGCCTTATAAGCCTCCGCCACCGGGTGTTGAAGACGAAACAGATGATGAACCAATTATTGCATTGAAAAAGAAGGTGAAAGGAAAGAAGGAAAAAAAGACAGTTAACAAGAGTGACACGGAAGAAAATGATTCAGAGGATGAGCAAAATATGTCATTTGAAGATCAGGGCTATGGTTACAATTCTGAGGAATTGAAGACTCCACCTTCAAGTGGGGATGATGAGGTTGAGAGGGAAGTGTTTCCCAAGTTTAATGAGGAGCAGCCCTTTGGTCTAGTACAGCTCGAGCTTGGAATGGAGTTTGCCAGTTTGGAGCACTTTAAACAGGGTGTCAAAGACTACAATATAAGTCTTTGGAGGCAGTTTGTATGGCTTAAGAATGACAAGGTAAGATCAAGAGCCAAGTGCTCAAATGCTGACTGTGAGTGGATGATATATTGTTCTTGGAGCAACAAATTCAATTGTTTCCAAGTCAAGACATTCAATGACAACCACACCTGCTGCAGAATTTTCAAAAATAAAAGGGCCACCAGGGATTGGGTTGCTGCAAAGTTGGAGAAAAGGATGGTCACACAACCCAATATGACAAGAGCCGAGGCTTATGAGCATTTAAAGGAAGAGTACAAGGTCCATGTTCATCTGAAGAAATTAGGGAAGGCACTACACAAGGTACTATACAGTTTTTTTGTATAGGGGTTCACTTTTTTGTTGTATAGGCAACAATGTTCATGACTGTATTTTTTGGTACCCCCATTTTTTTGTATTTAAGACATTTAACTGAAGTATATGCTTTTTTTTGAATCACAATATGTCTCTGTTTGGGAGTTTTTTGAAGAAAAAAAAAACAACATGGGAATAGTTTGAAGGATGGTTTAGAATGGTTTATGTGGACCATAAGTTCTGGCAGGCCTTTAATTATGATGGAAGAGTTTTGAATTGTAACTGACTACAAGTTCCATTATGAATGACTACAAGTTCCTTTTTTATATCAGTTTTTTCCCTTTGCTGCAATCTGTATCTGCATGGTGATTTCTGAATTTGTGTATGAGTCTTTTTTATTCTGGCTACAATGCAGGTGGTCCATGTTTGGGTTTTGGTCGTTGCTGTTTGGACACATTTCAATGCAATATGTTCATGTCCAATTTTTGCTGCATTATGTCTCTGTATTGTCTGATATCTTTATTGACTACAAGTTTCTTTTGCTGCATTTTTTACTACAAGTTCCTTTGCTGAATTCAATTATGTACTGTCATTTGCTGCAATCTGGCTTATGTTGCAATCCAATGTGTCATGGATTAAAATGCAGGTTTTAAAATGCAGCTTTTAAGTTGCAGCTTGTGTCCAATTTAGTCTAAACAGGTCATGTTCAAATTTTAACTGTCAGGGACCAAAACGTGCCCCAATAACATTTTTCAAGGACCTATTTGGCCCTCGATACATAATTCCAGGGACTAAGTTGGGGTCTAGTTTAAATCATTAGGTTCCAATATCCAGTTCTCAAATTCCCATTTGCAGCAACAAATTTGACATTAACTGTATTGAATCATGAAGTTAGCATTATACACATAAACACATTTTATAGCCTAAATAACAGAACTACATTGCATCTTCTCAACTTTATTCATCGCAGTTGTCAACAAGTCATTCAATTTCATTGAAGAAAAACTACATTTCGTACATAACATTTCATTGTTACAACACTTGCAATCATCACAGCATTCTTTCCTGCACATTCATACTCAGTTCTTGCTCACCAACATCTTGCACCTTCGACCTCCATTCCGTCAGGTTGTTCTACACCCAAAAGACGTAGTCCCACTTCATCCCCCCAAGCCAGATGACATACTCATCTTCTTCTACGCACTATAAAATAGCCAGTAAACACCTTCTACTTGACACTATTTTCAATCTTCAACAAATTATGCTTTGGGGTTTTTTTTATTCTTAGGCTGATTTAGGGTTTCTAATTTGACAGGGACTATATTGGGTCACTCACCCTTTCGTGCAACGGTCACATGTCCAAACATCCAACTAGACACAAGGGACCTATCTAAACGACATTGTTTTCTCTCCAAGTGGCCAGGACATTAGTGACTCAGCCACTTAACATTCCAGCTGGCGTCCGTCAAGTGGGTTGTCACATTGGATTTAACAGAAGGATAAACGTGTCCCTTTTTTTCAAAAATCAGACACTGAAATATGACTTTTTTAAACCGAGGGACTAAATTGTGCTTCGCAAAAAATTCCAGGGACGAAAAAGAGTATTTACTCTTATTTAGGGTTAGTGAGGAATTTTGCTTTTTTATCAATGGTAGCTGCTAGGGAAACTGTTTGGGCTGCTTATTTTTGTTGTACTTTGTATTGGGTCATGGGCTCTTATTTTGGGTCTGGTTCCTATAACCGGTGAAATTTCTTTCTTACTGGTGGACAATGGATCAAAGTTTGTGGATATGATTATGTTTACACTTACTATAATGCTAATTTCACAAATTAAAATTGAAATTTTTTTTATTATTTTTACATTAACTCTTATTCCTAACAGCTATTAGGTCATGAGGAATCAGTTGAAGCCAACAAGTGAGTTAAAATTAACTGTCAAGGTTTCATTTTTCATTTGTACTAAATAATTTTTAGAGGAAGGTTATACTTATAATTTATTTTCGTTTATAACTATATCTTAATCGTTGATTTTCGTCAATCAACAATTATCATTTATTGCGAATTAATAATTAATTAATGAATTTGATTTTCAAAAATAATAACTGTTGATTGGCCAAAATCAACGATTAAGATATGATTGTAAGAGGTTGTAAACGAAAATAGGTTGTACGTATGAGGTGTTAATGGGCCGATCGGACCAGACTTTGTTCTTGAAAGACTAAGCTTGTGTTTAAATATGTCAAAATGGCCTAGCCTGTAACTTGTTATGAATATAATTATCGGCATGTGACCTGACTTATTTAAAAAAAGTAAAAGCATACCTTAGCCTGTTAAAACAAAATAAGAAAACAAAAATTCTTCCAAACAGAATATATACTATCAACAACACTAATAATTCCACAAAGATTCATAAATTCAATGTATATCCAAACAACATAATATATAAAAAAATCATTCAAAGTCTGCTTAATAAATAAACTAAAATAGTACAAAATTCTGCATTTTTTTTTGGTAAACACAAAATTTTGCATATTTAAAAGAACAAAAGATTACAAAATGAAAAATAAAAAAGAGTTAGTAGGCTAGCCTGATGGGCTTTAAGGTTGGACTTTTAAATTGAAGCTTGATGCCTTTTTATTAAATAAGCTTTTATACAAATCTAAGTCTAGATCCAACAACCAAAACACACAAATCAGACCAGGTCTACATGAGCCGGGTCAAAGGCCCTTAAAAGGCCCCCGACTCTTTTAACAGCCCATTGTTGTAACTATACATATTGGAAAAAAGTTATATTTACTATCTCTTTTTCTCACTACCTCTTACTACTAAATAGGAGTCAGTTAGTATATCTGTAAAAATATTAGTCAACCAAAAACTGAATTAAATTTTGGGAAAAACTATATGTTATTTTAAAAGATATAAAGTTACATCATTTTAAGTAAAAGAAAAAGATAGATCATGAGGAGAGAGAATGAACAAAACAAAATTAAAAGTGTGAGTCTCACTTATTTAAAATAATATAGATTTTTTTTTTCTTTCCTTTTGGTTGCAACTCTCCTCTTAACCAGAAAAAGAAAACAGAAGAGCGAGTGAGAAGGAAAATTTCAGCTCTACTAGTTTTTAAGTTTTATCTTTCGATTCGAAGGGGACAATGATGGAAAGAGGGGCTCGACCCCCTGATCCTAATAGAGAGGGACCTCGAGATAGGGAATCTAAGAAGGCTAAAGGAGAAGGCATGGTGGATCTAATCATGCATGACTCCACTCCGGCAGCGGGCGCTACGGAGGAGGGGGAAATGGCGATGTAGCTTAATCCAGGTATCATGGAGGGGACAAGGAAGGACGAAGAGTCTTTCAGAGAACCTAGGAGGCTGGTTTCTTACAAGGATCAGCTTCTACGGGTCAATGGTGTTTGGGACGAGCAACAGGGCAACGAGGAAGATGATTGGCAAGCACAAAGCAGAAGGGACGAGTTGGATGAGGAGGAAGCTATCAGAGCGTATGAACAAATGCAGGAGGATGATCCTCTAAACCCTTACTATCAGTTTGACATCCTGGAGAAGTTGGATCAGTGCAAGAAATGGAAGATGGCCATGATCGTGAAGCTGATGGGGAAGCGGTTGGGAGCGAGGTTTCTGTGGAACAGGCTACAGAGGCTGTGGAACCTAGAAGGTGATTATAGGGTGCTGGATCTTGAGAATGATCACTACCTAGTGGAGTTTGAGAAAGCACAGGATTACTTGTTTGTTCAGCAACAGGGGCCCTGGATCGTAGCGGACCATTATCTGATTGTGCAGCGATGGAGACCGAATTTTGATCCTTACGATGATCGTGTGAAGAAGCTTGAAGTGTGAATTCGGATTCCTGGGGTTCCTAGGAAATTCTACACTTTCAAGGACTTGTGGAGGATGGGGAATATGGTAGGGAGGACTCTGCGAATTGATGAAAGCTCCCTAAGATTTAGTGGGCTGGCACAGCAGGAGGAGATCACAGATCGAGGTAAATTTGCCCGAATTTGTGTTGAAATTGATCTTAGTAAAAGTCTATTGTCTAAGTTCAGAATTGGACAAAGGCAGTTGTTCATAGGGTTGAGGGTCTCCATCTCATCTGTTTTGGATGTGGCCAGAATGGCCATAGGAAAGACCGATGCATGGCAAATCCTGTGAATTTGAGGAAACCTATGGAGGAAGACAAGATGGAGGTGAATAGGCCATCGGATGGGGATATTAATAATGGGGCAAAGGATAAGGATGAGGTTGAGAGAAGCCAGGAGGAGGTTGGCTTTGGAAAATGGATGACTGTTTAAAGAAATACTAGGAGTATGAAGCCTAATCTTCAGCAGAAAGCAAAACCTTCTAGCTCAGGGTCTGAGAAGCAAGGGGGAAATAGTGAGAAAATTGAGAATAGGGACCTGGCTTCGGGTTCAAGATTCTCCTTGCTTGGGAAAGTGAAGGGGGTGGAAAATGCTAACATAGAGATCCAACCGGGGGGATTAGGACACAAGGATATAGAATCCCCCAAGGGGAAGGTGCCAAGTAGCAAAGGTGAAGAAAACAGTAGGAAGAAGAGTTCTGAAAAGAATGGGAAAAGGAGTATCTTGGATTCTTTTAAGAAATTGGGTGTTAGGAAAGGTGCATCAGGATCCCAGGTTCAGGAGGCTATTAATCAGCTGTTTGTGAATTCTGACCAGAGAGAAGCCATACTAGTCCCGAAAAATGGAGGCAGCTGGCAACAGTAATAGCAGTAGAAGGAACTCAAGGAGCATAGTGGAGGAAGGCATTGTGGCTGGGAGGCTACATATTCTAAAGGATAAACCTCCAGATATTGTTGATGGGGGGATGAAGGTGCTTTCCAATAGCAAAGACTCCATGATCTTAGATGATATCACCAATTTGGGTGAATCTCAGAAGTCCAAGCTCCTGGTTGATGCTGTACACTAGGTTGGTAGTGGTTACTGTTATGTTTTTTCATTTGTTTATGATGGTTTGTTCATGGAATTGCCGGGGAGCAGGAAAAAAAGGTTTTTCCTCTCTCGTAAAGGATATGGTTTTTCAAAATAAAATTCAAATTCTGGCTCTTTTGGAGACTAGAATTAGTGGGAGTAGGGCAGATAAAATAATACGCAATTTAGGTTTTGATAGTTATTTCATAAGAGAAGCAACTAGATTTTCTGGTGGTATTTGGCTTCTATGGAATAAATGTGATTCGGATGTGGCTATTCTCTTGGATGAACATCAGTTTGTTCATTCGAAAGTTAACTGGTTGGCTAGTGGAAAGGAAGAATTCCTTACCTTTGTATATGGAAGTCCCAGGAGAGTGGATAAGAGGTGTCTCTGGGAGAACTTAAGAAGCATTGGTTCGACAATAGGGTCTGATTGGGTTGTATTGGGGGACTTCAATGCCTTTTTGGAGAAAAGTGAAAAGCAGGGTGGTAGGGAAGTATGCTGGGGGAGTGTGCAAGAATTTTCTTCTTGCTTAAGTGATTGCAACCTTTCAGATTTGGGTTTTGCTGGACCTAATTTCACTTGGAAAAGGGGGAGGCTTCAGGAAAGACTTGATAGAGTAGTTGGCAACAATTCCTGGATCCTTAATTACCCGAATAGATCTGTCCATCATTTGTTGTTCAATGGTACAGATCATAGACCAATCCTCCTAAAGGATGAGACTCAGGTGTATGGTGCTGGTGGTTCTAAACCATTTAGGTTTCTTGCAGCCTGGCTGACAGATGATGGGTTTGGGGAGGTGGTTGATTCTTGCTGGAAACAGAACCTTGCTTGGAATGAGGCAAAAGATAAGTTTCACCTTGAAACTTCTTTTTGGCACCTCAATATCTTTAAAGAAATGCATAAAAGGAAGAAGCAATTGCAAGGTAGGTTGAGAGGCCTGGAAACTGAATTGAGCAGATGTCCTAGGGATTCCTTGGAGAGACTGCATAAGGAACTATGGCAAGAACTGAATACAATCTTTGTTCAGGAGGAACTTACTTGGTTCCAACGTGCAAGGTGTAAGTGGCTTGCATTTGGGGACAAAAATTCTAAGTTTTTTCATTCTGCAACAGTGGCTAGACTTAGGAGGAATAAGGTGTTGGCTTTAAGAAAGGAAGGGGGGATTGAGAGGAAGACCCAAGCAAGCTGAAGTGCATGGTTGTGGAGTTTTTTAAAAATCTTTACATGGAGGAACCCATATCTGGGACTGGAGACAGTCTAGGAGGTGGTTTTCCGGTTATAAGTAACCAAGGATGGGGGATTTTGGGGGCTGTTCCGGAGCCTGTGGAAGTTAAGAGGACCTTTTTTGACATGAAGCCTTTTAAAGCTCCTTGTGTAGATGGTTTGCATGCCATCTTCTTTCAGTCACAATGGGATAAGGTTAGAGATTCTGTTGTTAAGTGTGTTAGGGGAATCTTTGAAAATCCTTTGAAAGTGGAGGAAGTCAATCAAACCTTGATTTGCTTGATTCCTAAAATTGATAGGCCTGAGGTCCTTAGCCAATTCAGGCCCATTTCTCTATGCAATGTGATTTATAAGGTGGTAACCAAGATTGTTGCTGAGAGATTGAGGAACCATTTGAGTGACCTGATCATGCCCAATCAATGCAGTTTCATTAAAGGAAGGCATGCCACAAATAATATAATTATTGCACAAGAGATTATACATTCCATGAGGTCAAAAAAGGGTGCCAAAGGGTGGATGGTAACCAAAGTAGATCTTGAGAAGGCTTATGACAGGATAAGTTGGCATTTTTTCCATGATACTCTCTTGTTAGCTGGTCTCCCTGATTCCCTAATCAACCTGATCATGGCTTGTGTTTCTTCTTCATCCACAAACCTGTTATGGAATGAGATTCAAACTGAGAATTTTAAACCCACAAGGGGATTAGGCAAGGGGATCCACTTTCCCCTTACCTGTTTGTTCTGTGCATTGAGAGGTTAGGTCACCTGATTTCAGCAGCTGTTGACCAGAAATCCTGGGAACCAGTGAAGATGGGTAAGAAGGGTCCTCCCATTTCTCACTTGTTTTTTGCTGATGACTTACTTCTATTCATGGAAGCCTCAGTCAGTCAAGCAGAGCTAGCTAGAAGCATTTTGGATCAGTTTTGCACTGCTTCTGGCCAAAAGGTTAGTGATAATAAAACCAGGGTCTATTTCTCAAAAAATGTCAATCACACAAGAAGGGAGGAACTCTGTCAGGTCTTGAATTTTTCCCCCACTGCTGATTTGGGCAGATACTTAGGCATGCCTTTCTTACACAAGAGAGTAAATAGGAACACTTTCAGGCATGTGTTAGAGAAGACAAGTAATAGGCTTAATGCCTGGAAGCAGAAGACTTTATTGTAGATACAAGGTATGTTTTGATGATAACAAAGTGGCAACAACAAAAAGAGAAGAGCTTTGATCAAGAGCAAAAAGCATCAACCAATGTGGATATTGAAGATGTATGATGTAGCCACACAAGAAGAGTGATGTCATATCAAAGTGGCAAGATCATTGGATTAAGAGCAACAAGGAATAATTAGAAAAACTTTGAATATTGAAGAATCAAAATGATGATGTGGCTGCCACGATGATACTATTGATGATTCCACGTCAGCATAGTTTTGATGATAACAAACAAGTCAAAGAAGATTGCTTGAAGGTGAAGCAACATCCAAAAGAAATCAAATCAAGAAACATGCAAGCCAAACATCAAGTCAAGTCCAAAATCTCAATGGTATATTTATCTAGGACTTAGGAAAATGTGTAAAGGTGTATAGTATTATAGCATTGCATAAGCTCAAGTCATACACATCATCAAATGCATAAATGAATCTTGAACTAACAAGTCAAACATGCATCTAAAGGTTTTTCAAATGACTTAAGCAAAAAAAAAGGAGAATCATGGCATTATAACAGTTACATATTCATGGCCTTATACATCCGTCAAGAAAAGTCAAATCAAGTGGTTTATATCGTTCAAAATTGGTTTGGAAAGAGTACTTACATAAAATATACTTTTCTAGTTAATTTCCATAACCAATCATATGCTTTACAAGTCATAGAAACCATATTGAAAGAAAGGAATTTTCGAAAATGTGTAAAAAGGTCACTGCCATGAAATATCCGGATATCTGACCAAGAATATCCGGATATCAATCTCTGGATATCTGATACTGAATATCCGGATATCACATATCCGGATACGTGCGCGATGAATATCCGGATATCTACTGTTTAAACGGCTATAAACGGCTATAATCACATATCCGAATATGTGTTCGATAAATATCTGGATATCTACTGTTTTAAACGGCTATAAATGGCTAGTTTTCGAATTGGGTGCCTATATAAACCCCCCTAACATCTCAAATACACACAATTCGGTCATTGATCATTTACCAAGTCTTTATCACTCATTCTAGCTTGCTTTTGCTCACATATTACTCATTTTGATCATTGCATAGACTTGAGCTTATCTTTGTTGTTAGGTTATACACCTACTAGTTCTTCAATTTGTAATATTTGTACTTTGAGAGTACATATCCACTCTTTATCACCTTCATCTTACTTCTTGAATCAAAAGGGGAGTGAACCCTTGTGTTGGTCTGCCAAGAGATAGAAGTCTTGGAAAAGGGGAGTGAACCCTTGTTAGTCTACCAAGAGACAGAAGTCTTGGGAATTTGTAAAGGTTTGTCAAGCACCCGTGAAGCTTGACCGTTAGTGAAATATTTGATCGAGCGACTTCAGTCTGGACGTAGGTCACAGTGGTAGTGACCGAACCAGGATATATCAAGTTTGCAAATCTCTCTATCCCTCATCTCTTGCATAAGCATTGATTAATTATTTGAGCATATTTAAATTCATATCTCATCAAATATTTACCTGATCTATTTTTTCTGTTATTTAGTCACTACACGCTGTAAATTATTTAAATTAAATAAATTAGCTTTTCATATGTCAAAGTGTACTTGAAATGATTATTTAGAAACTAGAAGGGGGCTTTTGCGAAAATTTTGTAATACTCAATTCACCCCCCTCTTGAGTATGGAAGCCACATTCCTAACATATCCCTGGTAGGAAGGATAGTCATTACTAAGTCTGTCCTTGCTGCTTTGCCTACTTATTCGATGCAAACTGCCTTAATTTCAGTTGGAACCCTTGATGTCATTGAACAAAAGATGAGAGTTTTTGTGTGGGGTTCAAGCAGGGAGGCAAAAAAGGTTCATGTCTTACCTTGGAACAGGATCTGTAAACCTAAAAATGAGGGTGGATTGGGTATTAGAGGATTGAGACAAACTAATAGGGCCTGTATTATGAAAGTGGCACATGGCTTGCTTACTAACAAGGATGATCTGTGGGCTAGAGTGTTGAGAAGCAAATATAGGGTGGAGGATAGCTTAATTCCCAACATTGTGAAGAAACCAGGGGCTTCTAACTTGTGGCAAGGTATAACTCGAGTTTGGCCCCAAATTTTTGAAGGTTCAAGAATAATGGTGGGAAATGGTAAGGGGACATCTTTCTGGAATGAGAAATGGGTGGAGATTGGAGCTTTAACAGAGCACTTAATCCAGGATGTTCCTTTTGATTTGTTGGATGCTGAAATTGGGGATATGGTGAAGGAGAATGGAGATTGGGACTGGCAAAGGTTCGGTTCTCTCATATCAGAAGATGTGAAGAGCTGCATAGCAGGTATATGTCCTCCTAATCCTTTAAATGGGGAGGATAGGGTCATTTGGAATTTATCACATGATGGCAGGTTCTCCATTAAGTCAGCTTTTGGAAGCTTGGACATAAGGGATTCAGTCAGGGATGGGATTCAGTGGAGTTCAATTTGGAATTTGGGGGGGGGGGGGGTCCCTCAAGGATTAAAACTTTTCTGTGGCTTGCTATTGGTGAGAATCTTCTAACTAATCTTAGAAGAAAGCAAAGGCATATGACAGATTGTGACACTTGTCCAAGATGTGGTCTTATGTCAGAAAGCTGCTTACATGTTTTGAGAGATTGTGCATGGGCTCAAACGATTTGGAGGATGTTCATTGCGCAAGGAGAGTGGAATGGTTTCACTAATCTTCCTCTGGTGGATTGGTTGCAGGCGAATCTGTCTCCCAAGTTTTGTTCCATAGGGGGAGAGAATGGATACATTTTATTTGGTATCATTTGTTGGTCTCTGTGGAAGGAAATAAATGGTTTTGTTTTTCAAAACCAGGTTTCGAGTGTGGAGGTAGTAGCTCGAAACAGTAATATTTACTTGTCTGGTTTTTTGGAGGCCATGGCCTTATACAAGTTTGCAGGTTTGTTGAAGAAGACTAAAATTGAGATCTTAGTTCAGTGGTTACCTCCTGATCTTGGATGGATCAAGGTAAATACTGACGGTTCTTCAAGGAGCCAAAACGGTCAATGTGGGTGTGGTGGTGTGCTGAGGGATGAAACTGGTCGTTGGATCTTGGGGTTTGCAAGGAATCTTGGGAGCGGGAGTTCGGTGAAAGCTGAGATATGGGGTCTGCTAGTGGGACTCCAAGTAGCTTGGGACAAGGGTTTTAGGAATGTGGTGCTTGAAGGAGACTCCAGTGTTGCTATCCAGCTTGTGAAGGAGGGCTGCCCTCCTAGTCATCCTCTAGCTTTCTTAATTCGAAGAATTCAACAATTGCTGAACTTTGAATGGTAGGTGAGGATGGTTTATGTGTACAGGGAAGGGAACTGTTGGGTGGTTTGCTGATGGTGGAAAATATAAGTTCTTATAGGGGATGTTCCTCTGTTCTTGCAGAACACAGATTCGTTCCCTTAGTTCCAACCCAAGTGCGCAACTGCACGCATCAAGTAATAAATGGAGTATTAATGCCCAAATTATCGTTCCCACGAGGATAGAGTCCTAATTATTGTCTTACGCTGATTTATAAAGAATGAAAATGAGAAGAAAAATTAGTAAGTGAACTGTCTGGTCAAACGTTCCCTACTGTCTTGACAACGTTTCTCAAGAACAGTAAGTTCAATCTGCTGGCAAACAATTACTCGCTGCGTTATGTATGTGATCCTTCCTGTTTAGAAGAAGGTGAGATAATAATCATTGGAGTTTTATAGATACAAGATTAAATAAAGGAAAGAAAACCTACTAAAACAGTAATAGCTATAACCAAGAGACACAAGGTGATGGTTTAAACAGTTTAACAGAAGGAACGGATTCACTGCTACACTCTTAAAGAGGTTGTTTCCTCTGCTCAAGACTTAGCACTTTTTGGCTTTATCCCAGTTTCTTGTCTTCCAACTCTGATTCTTCAGCTCATGGACTAGATGACTCACAAGTTTCCATATTCTTATGGCTCCCTTGACTCCAACAGGTACTTAGTACAGAACCTTTACATGGACGAGTTGGCCCCTTATTCCTAAAGTGACCAGTAGTGTTTTTGCCATGACATCTACCTTCCCCCAATGGCTAAGCTGTCTGAAATCCCTTCCTTATGGAATTTCCTTTCTCAGTATGTACCCAATTTCCATTGGCGCACAATGAATATAGCTTACTTAGCCAAAGAAATACAAAAAGCTTCAGTCAAGAGTTTTGAAAACAGTTCTTTAAGAGTTTCACAGTTTTTCCATTCCACATATAGTTCAGCTCATGGCTGATATTTTAAACATAATTATTCCCAACTGAAATCCCATAGACCCGAGTTTCAGTTAAGAGATAACGAATGGAACAAAGAGAAAACACTTATATTAATTTAAAAGACAGTTTACAAAAGAAACAGAAAAATGGAGAAAAATGGTTTAATATTCGTGAGGAGTCTTAAGGTTTGATACAGAGCAAAGGGGATGGGTTGTCACTTGACTACAGTTACAACTTATATAAAACTAAGTTACTAACTACTAGGTGATCTTCCTCCTTCTGGACTTTAATCCCTCCAGAATCCGATGATGTTTTTGTATGAGGGTGGTCCTATTTATAGATGGAAGGAGAGTGGCAAGCTTGTAAATCCTTTGGAGCAAGTTGCTTGAATGAGGGGACGGGACGGTGGCAGCAGAGTATGGAAGCTGCGCAAATTGCTAGATGGAACAAGGTTTGGTGATGATTAGCCGTAGTATGCAGACTTGCCCATGCCTTGCTTTCGTTTTTAGCCAATGAGAACTCTTGATTCTCTGCTCTTCACGTTTTCAGCTGCTCAGTTGGTGCACCGCCTTGCTTTTTATAAGTCTTTAACCCTACGTCACCTGAAAAGTGTACAAAGGCATTAAATGAATGGAGCAGGTGCATTAAATGCGTCTCAGTCCGTTCCCCTTTTAATATATTTTAAAGGAATACTTTACCAGACGTTCCCCCACTGTGTTTTTGTCACAAATGTGTAAAACAAGTGATTTTCATGCTGAAGTTGTTCATCAACTGAGGGAACGTGTGGTATTTTGCCATCAAAATGGGCTTAGATGGGAACGAATTTACGTCCCATCAGGAACTTTGTAGCGGATTATTTCGCGGGTTTAGCTGTTGGTCTTGGGTGGGATATCTGTTTTTTTGAATCTCCCCCTGCTGATTGTATAGGTTTGCTGAGTAGAGACTACAGGGGTATTGCTTGGCCTAGATTGGTGGCTGAGTTATAGTTGTTAGTTTTGTTTTAAGTTTCTGTAATATACAAAAAAAAAATAAAAAAATATAGATTATATCATTTAAAAAAACAACTATTTTCCCTCCTAACTTTTAGTTTGGTTTTTTCATAGTACTCATCACATGCAGAATATTTCATCCCACCTCATGAAACATTGCACAACAATCAATGCAATTCGCATTCCTGTTCTATTGTCAAGAATCAAGATCTTTGGTCATTTCACTCACTACGCCCTCATTTGAAATCATAAGCCTTTTAGGTATCCATCATAACAAAAATTAACCTCTCATTTAAAATATTAAGAGACACCTCATAAGAAAATTGATAATTTTTTTTAAAAAAAGTTATTCCTGATTTTGCACTACACTGTATAGCTACGTTGCACCAACACAATTTATATAATATATATTAAATTTAATATTCAATAATTTAACAAAAAAATAAAGATAAACTAATAATATTCATTAATTTTACAAAGAAATTTAAGATATCACAAATATTTATATTAAACTCAATAAAATTATAATCATAATCCAACGAATGTAATAGTTGGAACTAAAAATGCAACGCAACATTTGAACTTTTTTTAAGTCTATGTCACACGTATTTGAGTGTCCAGGAGTCAGAAAATATTGCAGATGACACGTCAGGTTTTTTGAAATTTTTATACATGATATTTGTCTGATCCGGTCTACATCGTATAGTTGCGGTTTATGAAGAGTCTGTTTGGATCCTTTTTTTTTTTTTAAGTTAGAAGCTACTTGTAAGTAAAAACTAAAAAAAAGAACTTAAAAAAAAGCTAAAATCTGTTTGATAATCGCATAAAATTTTTAGCTTAAAAATTACTTAAAAGTACATATTTCAATAAATTTATCTCTCTCTATCTTTATGACTCTTCATTTAAAAAAAAATACAATTCAAGAAAAACATATAAGAGCTTAAAAAAAGTTCCTTTTATAAGCTTTTAGCCTTTAGTTTTTTGTTTATTATAAGAATTTTTTTTCATTATAAGAGTTTTTTCCAAAAACTTATTTGGACTAACTTATGCTTATAAACAGCTCTAACTTAAAAAAGAATAAAAAAATCCAAATAGCCACGAAGGTATGCGAGATTCCCGAAAAATTGAATTTTTTTAAATTTTTAATTTTTGGATATTATCGTAAGCTGAATGCAAAAATTATATTTTTAAAAATTAAAATTCTCAAATAAAAAAAATTTCTCGTGTACCAAATGCCGTCTAAATGATCACAAACTAGAGGAAGCAACAATGCTGTCATTAGCAAATGCTTTTAGGAGGCGTAGTTGCTGACTTGCTGTCGTAAGCTTGGCAATCACGGGTCCCCAAGACAATAAACCCCAATCCGGAGTTGCTCTACATAAGGAAATCTGACCGTCCGAATTTCTTAATCAACGTTCGACAATGATCCAAGCAAGAAGCCACGGATCATGAAATAAAACCGTCGATGAATCAGAATCCAACGGCCAAGATCAAGAAGAGACTCTGAGATTCATATGCCCACTCTTCCCGCTCCAAGTAAATATCCCATCGCCTTCCTTATTTCCCACCACTGTCAAACCCTAAATCCCCAATTCTATTTTTGAGAAAATCTGACTCAATTTTTTCGGGAAAATGTCAGGTCGCGGAAAGGGAGGGAAGGGTTTGGGGAAGGGAGGAGCAAAGAGGCATCGCAAGGTCCTGCGCGATAACATTCAGGGAATAACGAAGCCCGCGATTCGAAGGTTGGCTAGGAGGGGTGGTGTGAAGAGGATCAGTGGTTTGATCTACGAGGAGACCAGAGGGGTTCTCAAGATCTTCCTGGAGAACGTGATTCGTGATGCGGTGACTTACACGGAGCATGCGAGGAGGAAGACTGTCACGGCCATGGATGTGGTTTACGCGCTCAAGAGACAGGGTAGAACCCTATATGGATTCGGAGGCTGAAGTTTGGATTTTGGGTATCTTGGTAGGGAATATGAGGGGTGAGTGTTGGGGTTTTTTTATGTGGGTATGTGTAAATGGAATAAATTTATGGTTTAGATAATGCTTTTGTTTTGAGTTATGTGCTTGGATTATCTTGTGATGGGATTGGGTGATACAAGATTACTCAAGTTTCTTCTATTGTTTTCCATCTAGTTTGTGTTAATGGTGCTGTTTGTAAATGTGATATAATTTGCGTTCTTTTAGTTAATTGTGTTGTCTACGAATATGGCATAGCTGCTATCAGCTATTAGTGTTAATCATTTTTTGCAATTTGCACATCGTACAGTACAGTATGATTCGTAATCCTAGCTAGATGCAAATGAATGTAAATTTATGATCCTGAACACCGTCGGCGTTCTGCGCACAAAGGGGGAGCACACTTATAGCGACAGAAGTGAGAGAGCGGGATTGAGAGGACCCCGCGGGGCTCGAGGAAAGAGCTGAAACTCTGCAAAAAGAAAATGGAAATGAGATCAAAGGTAACGATATACCTGTCATGTCAAGGGTAATGGCAGAATAGTAGTCCAGAGAAACCCAGCGCCTCCATTCGGAAGGTTTGGCTTGAGAAGAACATACTGTAACTCCCACTTTCTCAGCCCCTGGCATCTCCATCGAAGCTTTGGGACGAAGCTGTGGTGGACTAAGACTCTTTTCGTTGGGTTGCCTTTCCGGTAAGAGAGTAAGCCTATGAAGAAGAGTTCATAGGCGGATCGAACTCCAAGCAAAGTTGAAAGCGGTAAGGCATTCATTAGGCTGTGGTCAATCTTCAGATATGGAATAGGGGCATTCCGGTCTTACTATGAGCCTGTTTGGATCCTCTTATTTTTAAGCTAGAAGCTACTTATAAGCTAAAGCTAAAAAAAAGAGCTTAAAAAAATAAGCTAAAAGCTGTTTGGAAATTACATAAAAGTTTTAGCTTAAAAATTACTTAAAAGCACATATTTCAAGAAAATTATCTCTTTCTATCTTTATCACTCTTTATTTTAAAAAAAAGCACACAATTCAAGAAAAACAGATAAGAGCTTAAAAAAAAGCTCCTCCTAGGAGCTTTTAATTTTCAGCTTTTTTCTTCATTATAAAAAAAAGAGCTTTTCGTTATAAGAGCTTTTCCCAAAACCTGTTTGGTCTAGCTTATGCTTATAAGTAGCTTGTAGCTTAAAAAAGAGAGGATCCAAACAGGCACTATATCATGGGCAGTCAAGTCAGTGTGCACCAAGCAAGTAACCAAGCCAGCCAGTGAATTGATCCGAGGGTGAATAGACTAAGGTAGTGAAGTCATCCTAGCTCAATGCTTTCCTATCTGGTCCTGGAGCCTTAAATAAAAAAAAAAGACCTTACGGAACGGAAAAATGGAATCCTCTGAGATAGGTTGAGAAAGCGCGTGAATATTTTGTTGAGAAGTCATCTTGCCACTAAGATAAGGATCTAAATCAAAAGAATACGAGGAATGATGGTCAGATGCAAATGAATGTAAATTTATGATCCGATTGTGTTTTAACGTGAACAGAATTGATAGTGGTTAGATGTGAAATATTGTTTTGTACATTTAGGGTCTATTTGGAGCACTTGATAAAGAAGATAGGATATCATATCTTATTTTTATCTCTTGTTTGGTGGGTCAATAGGATATGATTAATTTATTCTATTGTCTCATTTTATCCTAACCAATAGAATATGATTAGTTTATCCGGTTTTTTTACCCTTATAACCTTTTATTAATAATTAATTACCAAATTGACCTTCATTATAAATTATTTCGAAAATTTAACCCCCTCAAAAAACATAACATCAATCTGCCTCTGTTTGACCGTTGACCACCAAGACTACCCGGGTACACCCCTCCTTACCCGGGTATTTTTTGAAATTTTTTGCCTACCCGGGTAGGTAGGGGTGTACCCGGGTATTGTTCTTGGCATCTGAGAAATTGCTTAAATTATTTACCCGGGTAGGTAAGGGTGTACCCGGATAAATCTCCACATCTTGAGAAAATTTAGATTGGTGTAATGATGCACAATCCAAGCTCAGCCTCATGCCACAGATTCATTATGGACAATCAAATCAACAACACAGGTGCTGCAAACAAAGAAACAAAATGTCCTCATTACCAGTAAAACTCCGTAAAGTAACAACAAAGGATTATGGGAAAAAAATTTCCTCATCCTATTCAAGACCTGTTTAAGACAGCAAGGTTTAGGGAAGTTACCTACCTGTAACCCCATTCGTTGTCATACCACGAAACAAGTTTCACGAAGTTGCTGTTCAATGAAATTCCGGCCTTAGCATCAAATATGCTAGACCTGCATATGAAAGCAATATCCAACATTGTAAGTATAATTAGAGAGAACACCAAAAACTGATCATGATAGTTTATCTTTCACCAATAAAAGCAGTCAAAGAAGTAAATGTTGCTTCAAAAATTAATCAACATTACCTGCTATCGCCAACAAAGGCAGTAGACACCACATCATCTTCAGTGTAACCCAAAATCCCCTTCAATTTGCCCTCTAATTCCTCCCTGGATATTGTTATTTCAACAAAAAAAAGATTGAGATAGGAGGAAAACCCAATTCAATTTTACTAAAAGTAAGAAGACTTCAAAAAGTTTAAAATTTACTTGATAGCAGCTTTGATCTGGTCATAGGTTGCAGCCTTCTCCAGCCTGACAGTGAGGTCAACAACTGAAACATCCACAGTAGGACCTCGAAAAGACATTCCAGTGAATTTACCCAATTTGCCCTCTAATTCCTCCCTGGATATTGTTATTTCAACAAAAAAAAGATTGAGATAGGAGGAAAACCCAATTCAATTTTACTAAAAGTAAGAAGACTTCAAAAAGTTTAAAATTTACTTGATAGCAACTTTGATCTGGTCATAGGTTGCAGCCTTCTCCAGCCTGACAGTGAGGTCAACAACTGAAACATCCACAGTAGGACCTCGAAAAGACATTCCAGTGAATTTACCATTTAGCGATGGAAGAACTTTTCCTAGAGCCTGTTTTGTCACAAATTCAACATTCAATGGTGACAAAGAACAAAAGCTTTATTTACAAAAAAAAAAAAAAAGAACAAAAGCTTTGGAATAAAATTTCCACCATTTAATCAAATGTTGTATCAATTTATATATATAATAGGTACCTTAACAGCTCCAGTGTTGCTGGGAATTATGTTGAAGATGTGAGATTTACCCGGGTACACCCTTACCTACCAGGGTAAATAATTCAAGCAATTTCTCAGATGCCAAGAACAATACCCGGGTACACCCTTATCTACCCGGGTAGGCAAAAATCTCAAAAAATACCCGGGTAGGGAGGGGTGTACCCGGGTAGGCTTGGTGGTCAACGGTCAAACATGAGCAGATTGGCGTTATGTTTTTTGAGGGGGTTAAATTTTCGAAATAGTTTATAATGAAGGTCAATTTGGTAATTAATTATTAATAAGTGGTTACAAGGGTAAAAAAGCCTAGTTTATCCTATTGTCTCAGTTTATACTAACCAATGCATGATTTCTTATCCTATGGGGGAAGCTGCGTTATAATTCAATAGGATAGGATACCAATATTGAATACCTAATAAATTCTCACGTTACCCAATATATCTCATTCTACCCAATATATCAAATTGTTAATTAAGTACTCATCAAACACATAACATGATATATGCTTATCAGCCCCATATCATATCCTACCCTTAGTCAGTTTAATCCACCAAGTAGGTTTAATTTAAAACTTGAGAGATCATATTAAACGCTACTCAATCGGATATTGTGCGTGGATACGTTGTAGCAACAAATTACCGGACAGTATCTCTGAAAGAATTGAAATGGATGGTTCAAGTCATTTTACCAATGGTTCGTGTATGAGAGACAATACATGAATTCGCTCCTATGAGCTGGAGAATACACTCAACATGCTCCGAGAATGCGTGGTGTTATTTTTTTTATATTGAAGCAGTTCACTATTTCTGGTTCCCAACATCTGAATTGGTAGGTTGCTTTCACTAGAATTGGAATTTATTTCTTTTAATAATAGTATATGACTATTTTGGAATTTTATCATTTTGACAAACAATTGATTACTTTTAGATCTTATTTTGATCACAGCCAAATTTTTTTCCCTCTCTTCAATCTCAGCCCGTCTTAATTTCCTTCAAAGAGGTCCTAGTCAGGCTAATTTGGTGTTAAGTATAATCGTGCTTGATGTAATAAATGGATTTTATTTTTAATAATTGCAGTTTTTTTTTTTTTGCATAATATGACTTGTGTCTTTTTATTTCTATTAAGTTAATGTCTTGTAACATAATAGGATATAAACCGCTTCCCCTCAATTTTGGACGAGGCTTGGGGATGATAGGCCTCTTAACACAATATTCAATGATAAGGTGTGTAAAACCATAATTTATACAGAGTAGGGGTGTGCAAAAAAAACTCGGGTGTGCAAAAAAACTGGTTCAATTGTCTTGTCCTTGATCCGATTTTGACCTGATCCATAAATACTTATATTTTTTGAACTAGTTTAAATACTGACCCACTTTTATTTGGGTCAATTTTAGACCTGACTTGTTTTAATATTGACCCATTGACCCAAAACTTGACAAATACCCATTATGTGTATAAAAAAAGAAAATTAAATCACAATTACATTAAAACAAAAGTTTTAACGTAAAACAATTACGTCAAAATTTTTTACGGAAAATATTTGCAAAAAAAATTTTCGCAAAAAATTTTGTCGAAAAAATTTTTCCTCAAAATTTGTGACTAAACATTTCTGTAAAAAAATTTGACGAAATATTTTTTTGTCAAATTTTTTTACGGAAACTAAATTTCGTCAAAATATTTCACAAAAAAAAATATTCATCAAAAATTTCGACGAAACACATTTCCATCGAAATTTTTTGACGGAAAAAAATTTCATCAAAATTCTTTACAGATTTCAAATTTCGGCGAAAGTTTTCGACGGTAACATTTTTGTTAAACTTTTTGACAAAAAAAAAATTTTGTTGAAATTTTTAGGCGAAATGCATTTCTATCAAAAATTTTGACTAAATATTTTCGTCAAGTTTTTTGATAAAAAATATTTCCATCAAAATTTTCAACGGAAAACATTTCTGTAAAAAAAATTCGTAAAAATCTTTGACAAAAAATATTTCGATAAAAAATTTTGATAGAAAAAATATTCTGTTAAAATTCTTTAGCGAATCTAAATTTCGTCAAAAGTTTCAGATGAAACATTTCCCTCGAAACAATTTTTGTCTAAATTTTCGTCAGAACAAATTCCCATCGAAATTTTGAACGAAAAACATTCTGTCAAAATTTTTGACAGAATTCTTTTTTCGTTTAAAACATTTGATGGACGAAATCATTTTCATCAAAACTTTTGACAGAAACTAAATTTCGATAGAAAATTTATTTTTGTAAAAATTTTCATTAGATAAAAAATTTCGTCGCTTTGCGACAAAAAGTATTCCGACAAAAAAATAATTTCGTGAAGAAATTTTCGTCTTTTGTAACGTATAAATTTTGACGAAATTTTGTGAGGAAACCAAGTCAAAAACGGGTCAGGTCAGATTTGACCAACTTCAGAAATCAGGTCAGATCAGAACCAGTTCTGAATTAGTTCAACAAAATCCAAACCAAGTTAGACCTGACTTGGATCAAATTAAAGCGGGTCGGGTCAGAATACCTGACCTATAAAAATTAAGTTGGGTCAAGTCGGACAAAAACCTGACCCGATCTGACCCATACCCCGCCGGAGCCATGTAGTTCAAGTATCAGACCCGTAAATTAAATATTATTGGATAGGATCCAAAGAAATCGACCCACACATTTATAGTAAATTAGTAGTCCGACTCTGACAACACTGATTAATTTTTTGGATAGGATCAACAGCAACTGACCCACATACTTATAGCAGTCCAAAGTCTTGGACTAGAAGTTTTAATTTTAGACCACATGAAAACCTTCTCACCAAATCACCAAAAATGGTATGACACCCCCCCCCCCCCCCTTCCTTTTTTTTTTAAATATTTCAGTAATTTATTGTTTCTCGAATTCGGACGGGTACATAATTAAGATTTTAAATCTCTCTCAAAAATATATTAAAAATGATTGAACACATATTTTTACTCTCGTTTGCTCAGATTCTATACACCAACTGAATTACCATTATTTGGTGGTGATGTTGCCTTTTTCCTTCTCATCAACAAACAAAATATGGCGTTTGATAAAAAAAAAAATCAATTCAATTTATTTTTAAAAAGATATTCTAAATTCATATGGTCAATCCGCGGGACAAATTGCGCACAAGACAACCATTTCCCATCTCTAAAACACAGTGGGAAAAAAGAAAGAGCCATTCTATGTCACAAGTTTGGCGTGTGACTCAAAACCACGTTGGGGCAATCAGCCAATTTGCTGTTGTCCAACTCCGCTGAGCAATTGACCTGGTATCACTCGACAAAAGCACCATTGACCTGGTTTTTTTATTTTGTACCCACTGATCCTTTGACATAGTAGGATGTTTACTGGTATTGGTATGACTTTGTCTTTTAAATCGTTAACTTGTAAGAAAAACTACTAACGCAGCCAACTCATTTTCATTGGACTGGAACAAAATCTGTTTGGAGAATTGGTCCGAGGGAGACAAATTATACGGAAAATAAAAAATAAAAAAGAACACATAAATTAAAAGCGTATGAGACCATCCTTTTTAAATTTTAGCTACACGAATACATCTGGACCTTGAATAGCTCTAGCATCTAGAAATGAAGAAAACACCAAGCCCCAGTTTGCATCAATCTAGCCAAAGATCACACATTGGTTTTCTCCAAGATAGTAATGACACAAAGAGGCACACTCCCAAGACTAATCCTGCACTGAAGTTTTTCAAGAAATGTGCTGCTGTTTTTACATTGATTCTCTCTGGTAAAAGCAAAACAGCCTCAAAAGTTGTAGGAAGTGATGGCAGAAAGAATATATCAAAAGTCAGAGGGGTGGTATCATGTAAGTCTGATGAAAAAAAATATTATGTTTTACATTTGGGTGATTCGAAATGATTTTATTGTGCTTGCTCATGGTCAACCCTTTATGTTAAAAATGTAATGGGATTCAGATCATGGGTGTCAAAAAACGTTTGGATGCAAAGTCACTTGAATATGAGGTGATGAATGCTTTTGCAGTATTCTTCTTCTAAGTTAGATTTTCCAAATTTGAGTATGATATGCCATGATTTGCAGCTTCAACTGATTTGTCATCTGAAAGTAAAAAGAATTCATCAAAATGGAAGTTTTCTTATTCTTATGCATCATCTAGCACTGCAAGTGGACAGCTTGGACTTGGCAACTTCTCCTTTGAAGAGATTTACAGGTCAACTGCAAAATTCTCCCCAGATAATCAGATTGGGGAAGGTGGGTTTGGAACAGTTTATAAGGGAAAGCTTAATGATGGATCTATTGTAGCAGTGAAGCGTGCCAAGAAGGTATAGCATAATGTTCATCTTTTGACTATTTTCCATCTATAGAACTTGTTCAATTATGACTGAAGATGATGAAAGAGAAGCATATTCATCAGATACTAAACAAAGCTTACAAGCATAGCTCACTACTAGACATCAACTTTTTATGATTATCTTTTTTCTTTTGGGATTTTATCTGTGAGCCTCATATAGTGAAGTTTCTTGACAGGATGTACTACACAAACACTTGCACGAGTTCAAGAACGAAATATACACCTTGTCAAAAATAGACCATCTGAATCTTGTCAGGTTATATGGATATTTGGAGCATGGAGATGAGAAGATCATTGTTGTTGAATACGTTGGTAATGGAACACTTCGGGAGCATCTAGATGGTAAGTCCTGGTCTGTCTCTCATTCATCAATCATCAAATGAAAAAGAAAATTATTAAATTTCATACACAGCTGAATGAAATGTATGATCATAATCTGGTATCTTCAAGTTTAGGCACAAGAACCAATTTTACGTTACTCAAGGAAGACAATAGTTGTTGAACGAAAATGAAACATCAACAAGAAGCCAAAAGACTCGGATAAACTAAACTGGAAAGAAAATGCATTATGTAGAAAGTTATCCCTTAAAAATCAGGACTACCTCTTTGCATTAATCATTATAACCCTTTATTCAAATATTACCAAATTTACAAATCACATCTCTCAGAAGATAAAAGAAATATAAGATCTAAATTTTCTCTATTATTCTTACACTCATAAGATGTCCAAGTCTTTTCATCTGTAATTTTCAGAATGTTTAGCTTCACATCATTTCAGCTCTTGGAATGTGCTCAATTCCAACTGGGAATTTCATTCTCTTGTACTTTCAGAATGTCTGTGCTAGCTATATATGTTCCGTGTATATGTTAGCTGAGTGTATAACCAGGGCTTGGCTCAGGTAGTTTGGGTGGGGTGAAGGTTCCTGATGTACCAAAATAGGTTTGTGTAGTTGCATATACTGTTCAATAACACAGTATTCAGATGCAATGACTTAATAATATAGTGCAGTGGTGACCTAAAAGTAATCAATTATTGATGCAGGTACTCGAGGAGATGGACTAGAAATTGGTGAACGTCTAGACATAGCAATTGACGTAGCTCATGCAATCACATACCTTCATATGTACACAGGTATGTCCATAGAAATAAATTAGAAAGGAACAAATATGATACATCATATCTAAATTCTGTATAATTGTAATGTATATACCTGTACTCTCAGGAAGGCTATATTCAATATCTTTTCAAGTAACCTTACAATGTCTTGTTCACTTAACCTCAAATCATCAATATATTGGTGAAAGTATCTGGATGTCTGAATCTGTATTGTTTAATTGACAGATAATCCAATTATCCATAGAGACATCAAAGCATCAAACATCCTAATCACTGAGAACCTAAGGGCCAAAGTGGCAGACTTTGGTTTTGCACGGTTGTCTGATGACCCTAATGCAACCCATATTTCAACTCAAGTTAAAGGAACAGCTGGATATATGGATCCTGAGTACCTGAGAACATATCAACTCACTGAAAAGAGTGATGTTTATTCCTTTGGCGTATTGCTTGTTGAAATGATGACAGGAAGACATCCCATAGAATCACAGAGACCCCTCAATGAGAGAGTGACAATCAGATGGGTAAGTAAGTTAAATCTACCAAAAGCACTGCAAAAGAACCAAAATAGTATTTTCATTACATGAACACAACACTTTAGAATATTGTGACTGTTTCAACTAGTTATAAATATCAACTATATTTCAGTCAAAATTCAGAAAGCAAAGAGTGAATTTTGTACAGTATCCCAGTTATTCTATATATGCATGCACATCTACTTATTGGATTATTCAAGAAAGGCCATACCAAGGTGGATTTACATATAGTTCCTCCTAAATTTTGAAAGATATAGTAGTATAACTGATACAAGATTCATTTTGATCTGTTTAGATTTTATCTAACATGTTTTCGTGTACAGTCAATAAATTCATGGATCATAGAATAATAAATCTGATGGTATGAGATGTCAAATTCAATTTCTCTGTTCAAAAAATAATTTTATGGAGGAAAAAACAACTTTTTAAGCTGAACTGAGAGTCAAAATTAGATCCATTTAGTCTTCCTTGCAAAATGCATTCAGCTTTAATCATGTTTCCGCAGTGCTATGATTTTAATTAGTTTTGCTAGAATAAAATAGTTATGCAGAAAATAAGTATCTAATAATGATATGACAATGAAACTGGCAGAAGATGCACTGCAAAGAATGGCAGAATTGATTAGAGAGACATAATTTGCATGTATGCAGGCAATGCAGATGATGAAAGAAGGGGGTGCTTTATTTGCCATGGACCCAAGACTGAGAAGAAGTTCAGCCTCCAACAAGGCAGTGAAGAAGGTTCTCAAGCTAGCTTTCCAATGCATTGCATCTTCCAGACAATCACGGCCAGCTATGAAGAGTTGTGCAGAGGTTCTGTGGGGCATTCGTAAAAATTTTAAAGATGATTCCATTTCTCATCTTCCCCTACCTTCTCACCATTCTGCAATTATTCCTCAAAGAGAAAAGAATAAGCATATGTTATTTGGTATTGAAGATGATGAAAGCTATAAATTTGTCTCTGCACCTAATAAAATTCATTCATAGAGTTTGTTCATTGAGTGTTCAGATAGTCAATAACTTGTTAGTCATGCCAGATTGGCTTCAATATACTTGCAGTTTTGATGCTGTTATGACTATATTTATTGATTGATAACGAATCTTTGATGGATGAAAAAAAAATATTAAATTGTTTAATGCAGTTTATATACAGAAATATGGCAATAAGAGGGGAAAGAATATTAAAACTTAGAAGAGTAATATACGCTAGATTGAAAAACAAATAAAGAACAAAAGAAAAATTTCTTAATCCAATACACAATCTGCATAAAGTTCTTCTTGTGGCATAAAATCTTGTTCTGTAGTCTACCATATTTAAGAAAGATATGGATGGAGTTGACGTTAGTAAAGATAATTTTATTAATTTGAAGTTATAAATAAAGCATAGGCATTGATCATAATTGCAGAGGTAAAGAAATATATTGTCCCATTTACCTGCCTTGTCCATCCTTGGATCAGCGATAAAGTTGTTTTTTTGTGACCATTTGAGTATAAAAGACAACCTCTTTATAAAAATGCAAAGATAAAGAACTTAGAATCCTCCTCCTACTCTTGTAAGTTGGTATATATGCCCTTTACATCCCCTCTTATGTATCACGGAAAAAAAAATGGTATAAAATCAAAGTTTAGTAACATGCAGCATAAAGACATTTCTATCTCCCAATTTTTTCTGTTGTTCCTGCTTTCAATTGAAAGCTTTCAAAACCAAACTATTTGATTCCTTTCTTTTCTTCCCATCCCTCCTCACGTGACTCTTGCTAGCTTCTCTCCACACCTCTTTGTTTATGTTGTTGTCACTTCATTCAAAAGAAATAAGAAAACTCTTCCAACCTTGTCTGACATTTTCTTCTCGTCACATACTTCAACGTTTCAACACTCTCTCTCTCCTTTCAACATCGAAATGTCCCTTTCCTCTTTTGACAAGCTTGAATAATCAACAGCCAGTTATCTCTCACTCTGCTTATTACTCTTCTGTCTTTCCCATTTCTTCAATTCTTGAGCTTAATAGATTGTATAAGCAGTAATACACTCTAACGGGGGTGCTTTCTGTTTATGATAATTTTGAATGACAGTGAAAATTTTATGTTTTTGTGAATAATTGTGTGGATTTGATTAAGTAGGTAGTTACTACATCTTTTTTTTGTTAACAGGTTGGATGCTATCTGGTACAATTTCAATGTTGGACAATATATGTAATCAGGGGACGTGTTGTGATTCATAAGATAAAATGTACATAAATATTTAAAATAAATTATAACATAAACTAAATAAAGAACAATTCTTTTCAAATTTAGTAAATATTTTGTTCTCCCTCTCAACTAATATAATTCTTTGTATACTTGTAAGTACATATATCATTGGTTAGATAGCTGATAGCATAGGACTAAAAGTACTGCTATTGTATGTTGACAATAAACATTTCAGCAATAGAATGAAACTTACCTTCATTTCAACAAAAGTTAATCGCAAGATGCATATGCAATCAGGCACATGAAGAAACAACAGAGAAGGCAATTCAAATGTTTATAATCTTTTTCATGTGGAATTTAGCTGATTTAGTGTTTGCAATGAAGGAAATGTAATCTTATGATATTATCTATTGACTACACTTGTTGAAAACATCCTTTCTGAGGGAATATTAGAATCCCATTCATATTAACTCACTATGGGACTAGTTGAAAATTGTGATGCTCGTTAGTCATTACTAATTACTCTGTGACGATAAAGGCTCATAAAAGTGAACAAATTGCATGCAGCAAAGAATAGCATAAAAACAGATAAAAATCTTCCTGCAAATATCAATTCTTGTATCCTGATTTAAAAGAACCAGGTTTTTTAATTAACTTTGCAAAAGTAATTGGCTTCACAATATAAGTAATATCCACCGGACTCAAAAATACAACTAACATTACTATCTTGCTACTCTTTACTCTATTTTGTAGGCATAGAGAACGAGGCAGAACTCAAAGGTGGCAGTATTCAGAGTTGAATAATACCCAACACTGCCATCATCACTTTCACAACCTTCAACAGCACTTCCTTCTTTTTCACTCTCAGCTTCTGGAGGCCCTGGCTTGAAAATGAAAAGACCAGGCCCTGAGCCAGACCCACTAAACAACCAATCATGCACATCCCAGAACACTTGCACAGGTTGCTTGTTAACCATAACAGTTTGGTTCCCTCTAAACTTCCACTGCAAGTTCTTGACATGAATCAACACAATCCCATCTATGCTAATCCACATCTCGGGGTCACTAGTACCACCGGTTGAGCTATCCACAACAATTTCACTTTCTTTTCTCTTCTCATCAAACCTGGCCTTGGTGGAAAAGCTTTTCTTGGCAAACACGTTTTCTTTCTTGACAAGTAACATGGCCTCAACAAGGGCAGGTCTAGATTTCGTTCTCTTGTAAGCTTTCTTCTTGTAATCTCCCAACAACAACACAACCTCTTCATCAGACACTAAGGCTACATAGTAATCGCTGCTCGGCTCGGGGCTGCCGGAGAATTTAGCTGACCGGAGATCCCAATAGAGTTCCACCTGATTCCCTTCAACCTCAAAGGTTTTGTACCCTTTTTTGCTCCAAAAATGCCAAGGCTTCACGTCAATCTTGCAGCTATAATGTAAGTCACCTCCTACACTATCAACCGTAATGTGTAAGGAATGGTTCATAAGGTTTTTGCACCACAAAACTGATACGTTTCTCCAAAAGCCTGCAACATTGGCTTGGTAGAAACATGTCACGGTGCTTTGAGCAACTTTGCTAGGTAAAGGCTCCTCCGTTGTTCTCTCTGCTAAAATTGATCCTTCAGTTGACACTGGTTGTGCTCTAATGGAACGATGGAAAGCCATTTATGTTCTCTCTGTTAGGGTCAGATAAGAGGCATCAAAAGAAGGATTCAGGTTCTAATCTTGTCTATATTCTGAAGCAAAATTTTCATGTTGGTTTATGAGTTTGTTTCCATCCTTTAGATGATGAATGAAAAGATGCAGATGTATGGGCCTCGCCTTGGATGTGGAAAAGGAAAATGAATGAAATTATAGATACCCTTTTGAACAAGCATTTCAAAATTCATAGAACGAATTATCAACACTATCAAACATGCAGAATTTTCTAAAAGAGAAATTAGGTGCTATGACTGATGATGAACCTGCAATGGTAATGGTCATTTCAGAGGAAATTTGTTTGCCTGAAATTTTGGGCTTGGAAAGAGAAATGGCAAGAGAGGATTGACGAGAAAGTTTGTTTTTTTTTTTTTTTTTTTTTAATTTTTTTGGAGAAAAGGTCTCAATCTTGAGGCTAGAAACAAGATGTGACCGAAGGACAAGGAGCAGAAGAGATGTCCTGTCAAAACATCTTTTTACAAAGTTTCTTCCAACTTGTTACAGGTGGAGAAAATAAGGATAGTTAGTTAATCATCATACTTGATCCTAAACCTATTATTATGTGTCCTAATACCTTTTTTTTTAAGAGATTTAATTATTCACTCAACGATATTACGTGATCAGATCAAAAGAATAATACTATTTATATGCATGATTAAATCAAGAAAAAAAAAATCAAATCCTTTTAATATTAAAGAAGGATATTCTTATTATTAAAATTTTTTACTACTAACTTACTACCTGTCTAATCACCATTGAATCAAAGAGAGAGAATGATAAAAAGATTTTGAAAAAAGAAAAAATGTTGATCCAACGATGATTAAATAGATAGTGAATTGGTAGTAAAAAATTTTGGTAATAAGAATATTTCTTATCTTAATATTATGCCACGTGATTGAATAATATCAATATTAAAATTAAAAAAACATACGTACTGACCCTATTTTTTTTTTCGGGTGCTGCCACCCCCTCCACTCCCGAGGTAGGTCCGTCCCTATGTCAAATGATTGGATTTCAAAAAGTTACAATACAAACGATAATATCCGAGCGATATAACTTTAAATCAAGCGAAGTACATGAGGACTTTCACTCAGGAATACTGATTGATTACCTGAATGATGTGAATATGCTTACAGTGATTTTGGACCGTAGTGGATCACAGTACTCGTTGATATAACGATTGTTGTAGACTGGAATAGAGATTGATAGTGAGAAGTGAGTTTATTTTGATCTAAGACTCTCTCACATGTCTATGAAAAATATATATATAAGATAATAACCGCTTATGTACATTTTTTTTTTTTTTTTTTTTGGTAATCAAGGAGTATGTACACTAACAAGAAGTAAAGAGAGAAATTTTATTTCTTAATTATAGAATTTATCTATGAACAATAAAATATTGGATCTTTGGTGAATTTTTGAGGGTCCAATACTTGATTTATTGTTGTCGCGTTAGGATTAATATTAATTAAATTTCCCCCCTTAATGTCCTCTTAGTTTTAGCCTTTATTATGCCTTCTAAAATATAGGCCTCTATAATGGCCCATAACAATGATGGATATAAATTCTATGCTTAAGTTAAAAAATATTTTGAGTGTTACATGAGTTCCGAGTAATTGGTATACCTTTTTTTATCAAATATGGTAAAAAGTAATTTATCTATACTATTTTTATATTTATGATTATTTCCTTCAAGAGTATTTTTTGACAAGGTAGTATTTATTTAATTACTTCCTTCAATATTATGGTAAAATATGCTCCCAGGTTGTTAATATATGTTACTGGGGTGAATAATGCAATTAGATTATATGGATATATAGAGAGTACGTAAAATTCTAACAAAATTGAGGAAATATAATATGTCACTCTCATTGTGAAATCATGGATTATCTTTTAGAAGATATTGAATCCTTCCTTCTCATAGGATCTTAACAAATTAAATAGAAATTAATGATTATTTTCTCTTTTTTTTTTTGGTAAACATTTTTTTCTCTTATTTTAATAATCACCATTGATTTGTATACAGGTGGCAAAACGGATCGGCCTGTCCTGCCCCGCGGTCAACCGGCCAAAAATGAGTTGGCCCGCCCTGCCCCGCATTTTGATATGGGTAGAAAATTCTAACCTAACCCGTTTTGTGGTAGGTTGGCGAGTTGGCGGGTTAACCCGCCTAAAAAATAAAAAATAATTAAAAATTAAAAATAAATTATATTTTATTAATTTTATACTATTTCTTATTTTTATTTCACAATCCCTTTAGTTTTTTTCCAATCTGAAATCTAAATGTATAGTAATATTCAGTCAAATATTTTTTAGGAACTTATTTTTGCCTCAATATATGGATAACCTTTGTAATAAATACAACTTTTCTTCTTTACTTTTTCTAGGGGTGTACTAAGATAAAAAAGTTTTACATCACAAAAGCTTAGTTACAAATAAAATATTACCCATTAGTAAAAAAAAAAAAAAAAACTGACCCACGAGCCAATTCGCCCCGACCCACAGCCAACCCGTTTTGACCACAACTAAGCGGAGCAGGTAGAGCTAGGTTGGTGGGTTGGAAAGTCTAACCCAACCCGCCCCGTTTTGACGGGTTGGGGGGTTGACCCGTCAGATTCAACCCAAATTACCACCTCTAGATTTGTATATAAATAATTGAGGTCCTTTCGCTAATATCATATCACATAAAGAGGGTTCACTCTTATTGCGCATCAGAAATGCACAATTTTTTAGCTCAATATTTGTTTTATTTAATAAACTATAATATAATATAATGTACACACAGGAGGGTAAATGAGTCAGGCAGTCTATAAGGGCCTTTAACTAGACCTATCTTAGGTCATAGGTTCATTCTAAAAAAATTTGGCCCAAAAGCCTTCACACTAGGTTTATAATGTTTTTAATAAAATAATATATTTATGAAGGCTACTAAGAACAAAGAAAAAACTCCTAAAAATAATTATTTTATGTTTTGTTATAACTATTATTTAAGGGTCTTTGTAATCTTGATAAAAAAATTGTTTGAGAATTTTTATAATTTGAACTCTTGTTGGAAACTCGGTTTAATGAATAAGAAATTTTTTTTATTTTAATTTGATTTTTAACTTTATAGCCCTAGAAGTAGGGGCGAAACTGGGCCGGACCGACCCACAGGGGCCTACAACCCGGCCCATTAGTGGCCTAGCCTGGCTCGGCCTTTTTACTTGGCAGGTTGGGCTTGGGCTGGTGTAAAGGTTTGATTACATAATTGGGCCGGAGGCTTAATATATTAAGCCTGGCCCATGAGCCTCCAAGGCTGGCCCAATTGTTCTGCATAGTTCTGCTTTGGAATCTCAGTTAGTAGAGTTAATAACATACCAAAAATTCCTTTTACTCTTTACTTATATCTTGTAAGACGACAGCGTTATTGCTAAGCCTTAATTCACCTGCAAGCTCCCGAGTCCCGAGTAAGACACACCATCGCCGTTCACGCCACCACCGCTGTCCTCCACCGTTCACGCCACCACCGCTGTCCACCACCTTGAAGTTATCTCTCATCTTTGTGTGTTTATTTATCAGATAAATAGAGTTCCTCGTTCATATTGATCTTGATTATAAAAAGCTTAATATCAGATTCTGTGATTGGTAATGTTTAATTGAAAGGCTGAGAAGGAAAGAGGTGTTTTTCGAATCATCGAATCATCATGGTTCTGTTTGGACGTTAAAATTGTGATTTTTGTTTTAACAATAGAATTTGAGTATTTTGTGGAGTTGATTCATGATATGCTTGGAAGTTAAAAATTAACAGGCCAACGCGTTGGGCCGAGCCATTTGTTTTTTTATAAATGGGCCAAGACAGGCTAACAGTTAGACTCATACTATGCTATCGGGCCGGGCCAAATTGAAATTTTTTGGCATGGACTTGGGCTTTACGGGGCAAAGCTCGGCCTAGCCCAGCCCACTTTCACCCCTACCTAGAAGGCTCTATAATAAAATAGACTTTTCACTTTTTACCATAACTCAGGTCAGACTTATAAATCAAAACTTTAATAGGCTAATAGATCAATATAAGCTCTAAATTTTTTTGCATAGACTTTGTCTATTAAGGTCAAAGTCTGATCATAACTTAACCTATTTACAACCGTACGTAAATATAATATTGAAGAAATTATAAGAGCGATGAAGGAGTCCACATAGATTTTAAGACTAGGAAATCAAAATCAAAAAATAGATAATGACTTGAACAAACGAATTTTTTCGTAAAAAAAAAAGACATAAAATTTAGAGAAACAACACTTTAAATAGGATAAATTCATAATTAATTAAAGGAAAAAGTTCAAAATCCTCTATATCTTTGTTTTGAATCACTTATGCTTTTTTTAACCATTTATTTGCCCATAGTTTTTCCGACGAAATCCATTTTGTCACCGTTAAAAACTAAATTAATTTATCGACTTTACTCTTTTTAAAAGAAGATAATAGACTAATGACAAAAAAAAGGACAAAAAATGATGAAAACTAATAACACTTACAAAAAGAAGAAGAAGTAAATAATAATAAGGGTAAAGCATTTCTCCGGTCAATGAAAATGAGTTATCTCCGGTGAGCAAAAATGATGTTGTTTTATGGAGGAAAACAATGTGTTTTTGTAATTTTAATTTATTGGAGGGTTATATTAGTCTTTATCGTTATAATTTTTTAATCTTATAATCCCAAAATGACATCGTTTTGGGTTCACTGGAAATAATTTTATCTCCAGCGATCGGAGAAATAATTTTCCCTAATAATAATAGAAAAAGATCGAATATGCTTAAATCAAAAAGAAGAAAATAGATTAAGGACAAAAAAAAATAGAGGCAAAAATAAGATTAAATTTGTTGAAAACTTACACTAGTGATATAAAAAGACTAAAATCAAAAATAAAATAAAATTAGTTTAAATCAAAAAGAAGAAAATCGACTAAAGACAAAAAAGAAATAAACGAAAAAAAAATCATTGCCGTAAGTTCCTAACATATTTTATTTTTATTTATTTTCTTTGTTGTCCTCAATATATTTGGTCTTTTTTTTTGTTCTATTTTTTGTTGTCTTCAATCTATTTTTTTTATGGGTTTATCATTTCTCCTGTTACATAGATAAAATGATCTTCTGTAATTTCAAAACAACGTCTTTTTGAGGGCTAGAGGAATTAGTGAATGTATTTTGGTAAAAATCATATAATAAAGAAACAAACAAAATTATCAAAACAACTTTAATTAACGTCTCCCACTGTAAAAATGACGTAGTTTTGGAGCTGTGATAGAAGAAACTCCCCCCTTTTTTGGTAAGAAGAAGGCCTCAAGTCCAACAAAAACAGGAAAATAAACTACCTCAAAACAGAAATAGGAACGTTCCTAGATCTAAAAACAGAACTAAAATCAGAAAAGAAAAGTCATCTAAGTTTTAGCTTTTATTTTGTTTTGTAAATATAAGCACAGTGACGAGACTATCTCAGTGGATAGTACTCCTTCTGTGGTTTTAGCTTTCTCTATTTCATTTTCTTTATTTTTCCTTTCATTCTTATAGTTGAGCTTAATCCTTATGGATTTGAGCTAAGTTTTCCAAGGGTTGGATGACTGAGACCCCAACCACAGTGACTAGTGTTGATTGCTTTTCTGAATTGAATATTTAATTTCTTTAGTTCAACTCTGATTTACCTGTTCAAATTTTATTTCATTTCGGCTGTATGAAATAGGTTGGGTTAGGGAAAATTTATTGGAAAATAAATTTCTCTGAACAATGAGTTGAGCTCATAGATTCAAATAACGGATTATTTAAGGGAGTAATTCATAGATAATTTTACTCCTCCATGTGGCCAAAAGGACCTGAGCTTCAAGCTCTTAGTCTCACCTGCTTAGGGATAAGTTGTGTGAGAACAAAAGGGAAAATGATTTTTAAGGGATTAAAAATTCACAGTTGTCTGCCAATTGAAAAACAATTGTAAAAGAATCTTGTTAAACAATTGGACATTAGGGGATGTGGGGAAGGAATCAGAACTCAACCCATTTTTCTAATTAGATTTCTTAACACTTTATCGATTCTGATTTTTTTTTATTCACTTAAATTCTTATTAATTCTCTCAAAGTATAACCAATTTGAAAAATCCAAAAATAATATTCTCATTTTGTTTTATTTCTTTAATTTTGCACATTAAGAAATTGATTTCAAATTTAAATCAGAAAACTCCAAGTGAACTTTAAATCTTTTGTTTATTTTATTTTCTGTTTATCAACCTTAATCATAGTATTTTTTAGTTAGAAATCCAGTTTTAAGCAATTGCAAATTTTAGTCAAGTCAAAAACGCCAAAGATTCTTGTGGGAACAATAACTCGGACTCAAACAAGCCCTATATTACTTGTTGTCGCGTATACTTACGCGCATACTTGCATACTCTTTAGCAAGGCTAACAAGTATGAATCAATCGCACCGCCCACCTCCTAGAAAGTCATTCTCGTATTTGAGTCACAAGATGCTGCTCACATGATGCATCACCAATCTTGGTGAGCAAAGTGATAGCCGTTGTCGAATCACTTTCAAGAATTACCTTTCTCCAGCCTCCTTCCCAAGCCAGTTGCAAACCTTTTAGAATTCCCCATAATTCTGTTGTTATTGCATTGCAGAAACCCACCCGGTAAGAGAAAACATCTAGCCATTGACCTTCTAAACCACGAAGGATCCCTCCACATGCTGCCCTACCTGGGTTACCTTTCGAAGTATCATCAGTGTTGAGTTTAACCCACCCAATCTCAAGAGGGACCCAACAAATCAAAACTTCAGAATGAGGCCTTTGCACAACAGAACTATTCCTCATATGGATAGCATTAAAAAATTTCAAAGCTTTGATTTTAATTCCCTCAATATTATATTTATTTCCTCCCACACTAGAACCATGCACTCTATCATTTCTCCAAATCCAAGACAACCAAGCTGTCAACGCAAACACTATTGCCCAAGGAATGTTTTTTTGGAAACTTCGTGTCATAACAAGTTTGCCATCAAAGATTACCAGCTACCTATGATATAAAAATCTTTTTTCCAAAGTGTTATGGACCCATATATGAGGCCCATTAATCGACAAGTCCAACAAGGGGCAATCTAAGATAAAAATCAAGCATAACTATGGAAGGATATCCATCAAAGATATCAATCCTAATACGACAGTATAATATATGAGCTTGGGCCATCATCAGAGGCGCTAAAGGTCCAGAATCCTCTACCTACAGGTAAATTCTATAAATAAGAGGTAAAACTTACAGGTACGGTACGCTCTCTTTCTTACTATTATACAGTCACTGTGCACACACACCCCCTTTGGCAAATCCATCATAGTTCTTCTATGTACAGTAATATGTTTGACTCAAGGATATCTCACTCATAGATACCTTGAAGAGGGCACTAGATCAGGAGTAACATATTAGTCTATTGGGCTAGACATCTCTATCTCTAAGACATAACACAAAGTTTTCTGTGCCAATAATAACTGCTCTCCATTTTCATCAAACGAAAAGGTTATAACCTGTTTAAGCATTTCAATAAATTTGAAATCAAGTAATGTGGTCACTAGTCGATTCCCTACTCATTTCTCATGATATTCATTGTACCTAAGAGCTTGGTTTTGATATCTTTGAGTTTTTAGGAAATATAATTCTTTCTGCTGGACTTATGTTAAGCCTCTTAGTCTCTCCCAATGCCTCTGAGAAAAAGTAGCCATATCGTTAAAAGAGTTCTCCTGAACCAATTCCCATTATTAAAAAGGGAAAAATTATTCTCATGTTACATGAGATAAGTTTTCTCTCCTACACACCCTTCTTCGATAACCGTGTCACCTTTTTCTTTTATTTTTTCAGGTGGTGGAGCCCACAAATTTATCTTTATAACATGAGATAACTATCTCCTTTAACATGAGATTAATAAAACCCTATTAAAAATCTACCATGCATATAATCTCTCTGTCTTCTAGGCACTGTTCTCAAAATACATTCTATATAACTAGAAGTTGTCTTCTGTATCTTATGCCTGAATTCTCTCTTGGATGCATGATATATTTTCCATTTCATGCAGTTTATGGTTGCTGTTTGTAATTGGTTGGTGCAATTGGATTATGAAAGTTTTGAAATGTTACAGGAGCATGAAACTTTGATTGGAAAGCAAAATCCTTAAGTAAATTCTTTCATAAGTACTTCAGGATGGAAGGGGATTAAAGCTTTGCTGACACCATAATATTTATTCATGATTATTTGAAGAAGAGAATATCTTACTAGTGTATATTCCAGAATTTGTAGGTATTTCGAGTCGTCATGTGGTTCTTGTGTTTGTATAAAATAAAATATCATTTTCTAAGAGACTTCCTCTTTGTTTCTTCTTCTTCTTCTTTTTCTTTTTTTAGTTGCGGGACATTGAAAATTGTGAGCATAAGGATGGTTGTTACCGAGTTCTTCTCAACTATTGTGGTTATTCATTTAGAGCTTAAGTATGTATCTTTTGTGACATGACTGAATGTGCATGTGCCTATTTGTTTTGAAGGAATGTAAGTTCAAGGTAAATGCTCGTCCACCAAGAATAATAATTCCAAAAAAATTGAATGAAGTGAAAATTGTGAAGGTATTGTTGTTAACAATTGATCTGTTTTATTACCTTATTCATACCTTTTTTGTTGTCTAGTGTGCTGCTTTTAGTCTTTAGACCTTTCCAGACGGATGTTTTTTTTTTTTGCGTTTGTGTTTGTCTAAAATCTTCATACCACCAAGAAATACACCAGTTGAAAATGTTTGGCACAAGAAACACAGGCAAATTACTCCACTTCTTTTGCTGATTTTGTCTTAGCAAGCTTGTTTCAATGCATCCTGTGTTTCTCTTAGATTTTTTTCGTTTGGAGGCATGGCTATAATTCATTCTTATTATTATTAATGATGGTGTTGGTGATCCACAATTAGATATTTGTTTTATAAAACTTGCTTTTCGTATCTTCTGCCCACGAAACAGCGAATTTTTGTACAATTCAGATATCTGTTTTGCAAAATTTGCTTTAACTGGACCAGGAATTTGAAAAGCTAAATGGATGTGATGGAAAACTAGATATCCTAAAAGCTTAAATTGTTAGGCAGAGGTTGAATGGTCATACCCTAAGACATGTTTAAGCAAGAGGCCTCTTACCTTGAAGAGTGTACAATAGACAAGTTTATTTTAGCCTTGCAGAAATTTAACCGATTTATTAATAATTGAGATGGAAATGATCTTAACTCCTGACAAGTCATACTGAAAGTGACTATGATAAGATATTAAGATCCCATTCTCTTAAGGCCTGTGCACGATGAGTACAAATATAATGTAAATAACATCATTGGAACAGCTCGTGCGATGCTATTCTCATTTATCATAAGGAAATCAAGCTGTAACATCCCTAAAAAAGAAAAAAAGATGTGTTATTCTCTCCTCAAATTAAAGTTTTTAGAAACTTGATATCTCAGTCAGCAATAAAGAGATACATGACAACCAATTCTATGCTTACAGTAACTGAATAAGCCCAAATCTGATTATGGGGTGAAATTTCGTTTTTTTATTAGTGTTCACTTTTCAATGTACAACATGTCAAATTATGCTCTCACTTAGAACTTATCTGATTAATTAGACATACCGAAATCTATTTCCCAAAGATAACCTTGACATATTTGCAATACATTCATACACATATACCATATTAGAATTACATTTTGCTGTTATGTCTACCAAATAGTGAATGTCGACCTTCTGCTATCAATTCTCCAGTCGCTTTATTTTTTAGGAGAACAATTGTTCCAGAATAACCTCCTTTCCTTCCTAACAGCCTAGAAGTAATTTCCAGTTCATCCTGCAACAGAATATATGCATAGATATAATATACAAACATTTGAAGTAAACAAAGTATACGTCACACCCTAAAAAGATCAAGGTTCATATTGTAAGGATGTTATGACTTACGTCAACATAAGCAGTGGAAAGAAAAGAAATAGACATGTCAACTGAAACATTCATGGGGAGACCCTCTTCATGGATTACGGAACCTCCTATCTCATCCACAAGAGTTGCAATTGCACCATTAGCCAACTTCCCAGTCCTGTCCTGTAATACAATCAAACCTAATAATGTCACACACAGACACATATTGTAGATAGCATCAAACATACCTAGTAAGAATCAAACATAAAAAACAACATTTGAAGCTTGAACCAAATAGAAGAATTGATTGTTAAAAATAAGTGAAAGAAGAATGAAAGATAATAAATAAGTGAAGGGGTGTGTTAGTTACAGTGAGGCGAGGTGGGACTTTGAAAGAACACGAGACGAAACCGGGTTGGACTCGGTCGACTCGGACGCCTCTGAGGATGAAGTGCTCATAGAAGGTGGAGTTATCGCCAGGTCCAAGGGAAGGATCAGAGTTGAGTCGTGATACAGCTTCTGATTCTTCTTGGTTCAGCCTCAGCCGCAGGATCTCCTTCGCCTTCTCCTTCTCCTTCTCCATCTTTGACCCCACTCGATCACCAACCAGTGTAGGATTAACAGGGTGTTGCAATTCGGATCCTGTATTTGGGCCTAATGGGCCTAACTTCTTCGGTTTATTTTTCGGGTTCGTTAAGTTGGGCCCAACCGAAAAACACCCCCCAAGCTCAAATATCAAATTTATTTCATAAAAAACATAGGGGGGCTGTTGTGTTGATGGTGAGGGTTAGTGGATGAGCATGCATGTGTGATTTTTATGGGACTGTTTGTTTTGGTTGAGATAGCTTAGGATTGTTAGATAGATTTAAGGTTATGTGGCATTTACCAAATGGGTGGTGCGACGGTGAACAATTGTTGAAGAAAATGCTATAACTCATTATTGAGCATTTATAGAATCCAAGGGTTTTTGATCCATTTGTCCAACCCCTATAGAGTTCGATGGACCATTGCAATTGTGAAAAATGATTGAAACAAAAACCATTTTCTTACATAATAATAAAAAAAAAATTGAGAAAAATTTGTCCTACCAAATGAAAATATTTTCCGTACTTAGAGAAATTATAATGCTTCTGGCCCATAGAATTTTGGGTGCTCCTTTTTTCAAAATAAGAGGGCAAAATGAGAAAAGAAGAAAAATGGTAGGGACAAAAATAAAAAATAAAATTTCCTCACGTGAGAGGAATCACAAAATAATTATTTTTTCCATTGTACTAAGTATTCGATGTATCTTTCATGAAATATGGTAAAAAGTAATTCATTTTTTTTTATTTTTGGAAAGAGAGTATGTACTCTCTCTCTGTAAGAAAAATGAGCTCCTACCTAACATATAGTTGAGTATATATATGACTTCCCTAATTTATTCGTCCCTTAACTGATAAGGATAAAAAAAGTTATACCCTATAATTTTGTGTTTAATAATGCAAGCTCCACAATGCTTCCCAGCGTAAATCTAGCTTCATCGCGACCCTTTATAACTAACTAATGCTTATTTTATAGCTACAGTTAGACCTGCATCCATATGAATATACTAAAACGATTGAGTTGTGCATACCTCATTAATTGCTAGTAGTTGCCTATTACTATTGTTGAGAAGGCAGTTGCACAAGTATAAAACAATATTTCCTTAGGCTTAAAGGTTGAGAAAGCATCATACTCTGGTAAATTGTTAGTTTGGTCTGGTAAAATACAACCAAATTTGACGTTATCTTCTATTGACATAAGGTACATGTAATTGAAGTACATATAAAGATAGTAGGAACATAATTAAAGTATACATCTTCAATAGAATACGTTTTCAAGTGATGCAAATCTTAATTTCACAGTTGTGTGTATGCCGGAGGTAATTATTCCTAGTAAATAAGTTGTTACGAATTATTAGGAGTCATTTGAATTTGAAATTTAAAAATGATGACATTATCTACTTTGTACGGTTTTTACATTACAAAAGAAGGGTTATTATCTACTTTATCTGCCCCTACATAAATTAATAATGCCATAATGAAATTTACATCTCAAATGTATTCTGCCTCAGTTATAGGATTAAAAATAAATGATAAATACTCATAAATCTCGGAATGATATCCACAAATTCCTGAAAAAAAAAAATTTCTAAGAAGGGGTGGAAAAATTATTTGCCTATTTTGACAGGAGATGAAGAAAAAATATGATTGGAATTTTTTTTTTCGATCATTTGTTTTTTTATATAAAATAGTTAAAAAATATGATTGAAGGGTTAAATTTTTTTTATGTGATGAGAAAATTAACACATAATATTAGTAAAATTAACTCGAAATTCTCGAAAAAGATATGACCCATCAAATACTTTTTAATAATTTATCGAGAAAATTTTTTTTCATCATATTTTCAAAAAATATTTTTTGTAATAAAAAAACATTTTCTTCTCTATATGCGTTAACTTAGCGTACTTAATTTTTCCTCTCGTTTACACAGACTTGGCATCTCCAATTCCAACGTTAAAGGCAAGAGTTTCAAGAAAAGTTGGGTGCACGTGTGATTGCTAAACCAGACAGCTGTATGGGACAGTTTTGGGCCCTCTTCCCAATTAAAAATCTTAAATTTGCAAAAAAGTTATACTATTAAAGTGCTATTTGGGAATGTGCAACCTCGTAGATTCCCCTGCTTCGTGCCGAACCAAGCAAAGTGTTGTCTCTGTTGCGTTGGGGTTGACTTCGACATTTCCACAAACCTGAGGGTCAACCGGATTTTTTATTCAAATTTACTAATGGAATTCTTTAAAAAACAGTTAAGATATATTTATTTAAATAAATGGAAATATTTAATGCAGAATTCCAAATTTTCCTTAATCAATATAGATACCAGTAAGAAAATTTCTTTGTTATTTGTCAACTTAGCTTTATTTATTAAAAACTCTTAGGATACTTGTATTTTTTTTTTCATTTTTACAAAATTTTGATAGTTAAATTTTTATGGATTTTTGAAGTATATTATTACTCTGAAATCTTACATTTGCACTCAATAATGTATTTAAGAATCTGACCTATCATGTTAATATAATCAAACTTCTCAAATAAACTGTCAAAAAAGGATAAACAAATTTTTTTCAATTTTTTAAAATTTTAAATAATAATAAATATTATTATTTATTTTAATAGTATAACAATGCACAGTTATAAAGAATTTAAGATACGATAAAGTAAAATTAACTTCTTTTTATTTGTCTTTTCATTATGGTGGTGGATCTCAAGGACGACGCCCTCCTTCTTCTGTTTTGTTTTTCCTTGTTAATGGTATCTTCTTTCTTTTTGGCTTGAATCGATTATTCAGTCACTCTTTCGTACCAAAACCCAAGGCATGAAACGGTAGTGGAGCTAATCATGTCCCCCTAATTTCACCGGGCTTCTTACTTACGTTAAAACATACTCCACACCACTGGCGGAGTCGGGCTCCAATCAGACTTTGAGTCAAAAAATTATATTTATATTTATTTTTTTTAATTTTAATTAGTTTATATCATAATATATTTAAATTATATTAAATACAAAACACCTGAGTAGGAAACATCAAAAATAGTTATAATTTTATTAAATATTTTTTAATTTTATTGAATATATTTTAATTTTTTTATATAAATGAAAATAGAACACATATCTTAATACAATTTATCCGAATCTTTTATCAAATATATTTTAATTTTTTGATTGGGTCAAATTACAAATTTTAGCCTGGGTCAAATTATAATTAATTATATAATTATACATGATAAGTATAATTTGTTAAAATTTAGCCCGGGCCGAGGCCACTCCCAGCTAACAAGTGGCGCCCGCAATATCGACTGAAAAGATAAATTAACAATATTAAGAAATTTCACAAATATATGGAATGGTGATGAATTTTTAACTCCGGAATAAAAAAACTTATTCTCTATCTCAATGGTTGATATGTGCATATGACAGATGCGATTTATTAGAGGTTAGTAATGAATTAACAAGTAAAATTTAATAAATCACAACCATTACATACTCGATAATCAATGATTGAGATAGAAAATAAAACATCTTATTTTTATATCAAAATCAAAATATCCTTCTCCGTATAATATATTGCACAATTACTTACATTATAGTTTGGTTACCTTCTAGCGTTGTGGGTGGCAAAAGATCAAGTACTAGATCTTTACGAGTAAGGTCCCTTAGCTTAGCTTTATTTGCGTAAGGGGGACATTGTCGACTAGATGCCAAATAGGAATTGTACTCAACAATATATATATTAAAAAAATTACGTGATATATGAAGTTAAATCAAAATGTAGTATTTGAATTGTTACATTTAAATAGAGAATGTTATATATGATTATGACTTATAAATTTTTTCTTCTATTGCAAGTGTCGAAGGCAAATGATGAGGGAATCGTTGGGTTTAGGTTGCTGGAGGTGGGTTACAGTCGTAGGTTAGTATCATTTTAGTGTTTTGGCTTACGTGCTTTAGTTAAAAATGCCAAATTTAATAGTTATAACTTTTGATGTATTGATAAACTCTCAAACCAATAATACCTCACTATTAAATGTTCATTTATAGGAAATATTATTATGCCCACCACTATTCATTGCAAGAATCCCATTATTTCTCTGCTTAACTTTGCAATGAAGTTGTTTTGGAGACTTCTAAATACCATCATGACAACATGACAAACAATCATGTGCGAAATTTTAAATTTTAAATGAATGACGGAATTATGACGATTCGTATGAGAAAGTTTTTAATGTAACTTGAATGTGCGAACTTTATTGATGCTGTTGAAATTTTTAAGCTATTAAAGCGTGTTGTTGGAGTAGGAGGTTCGAGTAGTAGGTTCGTGTTAACAGCTTAGTTAAAAAGATTTAAGAACATATAACAAATCTTGCTATAACAAATCATGCTTCTTTGAGGGGACCACCTTAGGGTGAGTTATAGACCAAAATTGATATCATAATCAGTTGTAAAACATTTTTTAGCAGTTAATTTTTATAGTAATTGTTTATAAATTTATTAAATATAAGGGAAATGTTCACCGATGTCCCTGTGGTTTGCTTCAGAATCACCTATGTCCCTGTGATTTTTTTGTATCACATATGTCCCTTGCTTTGTAAAAAATAAAAAACTACAGGAACATATGTGATAAAAAACATACCCTTTTGCAAACCAAATCACAGGGACATATATAATTCTGAAACTAACCGCAGGAGCTTTGATGAACTTTTTCCTAAATATAATAAGTAATTGAAAATATTTATTATTTCATATTCTTATAAAAAAATATTAGTATAAGAATAATTTTATTAAAATCAAGAGAAAAATGTTTATATAGTTATTGCAGATAAATTATCTGCATTTATTCTCAAAATGACGTGAATTTGTTATTAAAATATTAAAAAATTATAATTATAAAGATTATTATAACTCTGAAATGATTTAAAATTATAAAAATATCTTAATTTTTGTCCTAAAATAACATGCTTTTAAGCTCAATATACATAATTTTTCTTTCATTTACTACGGAAAAAAGAAACCGCAAAATCAAATAATATAACTATTCTTGACATGAGGTTTGAGTCTATCTGTGGCTTACAGGAAATATATTATTTTACATGTGATGTAACATCATCATATCATAGTAAAAGATTTTAACTGTATAACAAAAAAAAAAAAAAAAAGATTTTAACTGTTTATAAACAAATAAATAGTGATAAAAGATGAGAGAAAAAAAAGTATTAAAGCGGTTTGATTCTATTTGCATTTGGTAATTAATGTCAATATCATACATGCTTCCATGGTTGTGTAGTGCTTTGTGGTTACTTATTATGTGTGTCCTCTCTTCCCTCTGCCACATTCCTATCTTTGTTTCACCATAACATGCCCACACTGATACCCACCCAACTTGTTCTTTTAATTTTCTTCTACTCATGACTTCCAAATCTCACCGTCACCGCCACCGCCTCTCCACCTGTCACCGTCACCCCACCATTCCCATCACCGGCTTCTGCGCCTCCTGCCTCCGCGAACGCCTCGCCGGAATCGACTCTCATGATGACTCCACTCCCCCGCCTGACCTCCGCCGCACCAAATCTTGCTCCGGCAGAGGCGACCCTTCCGTTGCCTCCGCATCCGAGCCCCGCCGCCGCTCCTGCGAGGTCCGACCTCGGAACACGCTTTCGGATCTCTTCAGCCTCGACGACGAGAGGAAAAGCCGTAACCGGAAGCTGAATCTTGATGTGGAAACCGGGGAGGAAGAGGTGGAGCACGTTAATGAGAACGAAGCAGCGGTTAGGGTTTGTGAGGGAATGGACGAAGTGGATGAAGAAGAAACGAAGACGATGAGGGAGTTCATAGATCTCGAGTTGCAGAGTAAGAAAAATGCAGGGAGAGACTTGAGGAGTACTATTTGTGAAGCAGCTACTGTTTTCAGCGAGAAATTCAGGAAATGGAAACGGAAACACAAGTTGAAGAACAACCGTCACGGTTACGTTAACGGAAGTGTTGAGAAGCCGGAAGCGAGGTCATTGAGGGAGACTCAATCTGAGATTGGGAGAAGATCTTGTGATACTGATCCAAGGTTTTCGATGGAGATTGATTCATGTAGAATCTCAGTGGATTGTCCTCGAGCTTCTTGGGATGGATGTTTGATTGGTAAAGCATGTGCTAGCCTTTCCCCTATGGTTTCAGTTCTGGAGGATGCCACTGATGATAGGGTTTTGGTTGAAGAGAGTAATAGTAATAATGTGGGTTTGGAAAATGCACAAGAGCATAGATCTATTAGCCCTGGTGGATCATCTCAGACCAAAGATTACTATTCGGATTCTCTGTCTTGGCAGAGGCGTAGGAGAAGTTTTGATATTGATAGATCAAATCCTCATAGGAGACAATCTATTGGAGAGGTTGATGAATTGAAAATGATATCTAATGCAAAGGTGTCTCCTGCCACCACAGAGTTGTTCTATGGGGCGAAGTTGCTGATTACTGAGAATGATTTTAGGGATAGTGATATGAAACCTTCAAGTGATGTTCAGTCTGATTGTGTGCTGGGATCTTCTTCCAAGGTTGCTTCTGGTGTTGCCAATGGGGTTACTCAAAAGGGTTTCAAGAAGTTACAAAAGTGGCGCATAGTGTTGAATAAGTTGGGTTTAGTACAGAGAAGGGAAGATAAGTTTGGAGAAGAAGAGTCTTGGCAAAAGCTGAGGAGGGTAGTTAATGTACAAGCAAGCGAGTCTGTTAGCCAGAAGCTTATTCGTAGCTATAGTGTTAGCTGTAGAAACCCTTGTAGGATGGCAGGTTTGGTCAACGGCTTGGGGGCTCCTGAGACCAAAGAAAATGTTTTGAATGGAAGACAAGATTTTATGCTTCAAAGGAACCGGAGTTTTAGGTATTCACCAAATAAGCTTGACACTGGCTTGTTAAGGTTCTATTTGACACCGTTGAAGAGCTATAGAAGAAGCAAGTCTGGAAAGAGTAGCTTTAAGGATTTGCATCCAATAGCCAGAAGTGTCTTGTAAAGCTGTATTAACTGTTGAAAGTATATCTGGTTGTAAAAACATATATAAATGTAATTGCTGTTGTCCATGAGATGCAGTACATCACGTTGTCTGATTCTGGTTGCAATTTTACTAATGATGTTGGTATTAGAAATAAAGTATTATTTCCTTGATGCTGTTCATATGGTGGATTTCTGATTGCAAGTTTGCTACTGTCCTAGGAGTAACACTTGATTTTACTAGAATTTATTCCAAGGATATATATATTATTTAATGATTTTAAATTTTCTTGATGAAATGTCTATGAACTGGTAATTTGCTGCCTCATGTGCGGCAATGACTTTTTACTTCATACTGGGCAAGATGAAGGTATCTCTCTAAATGCAGAAAGAAAGGCTCAGCGTAATTCTCATGCTTTATTAACATACCAGACAGTAAGCTTTACCTCCCAATCTCTGATTCAGCTATGCCGTTAGTTGTTGTAGATGCATGGACTACAAATTGTGAAGTGTAAACTTTCCTCAATTATTCAGATTCAGAATCTACATTTCTCTTTTAAATATGTGGGTTTTTGCTTTATCCTGAACTTAGAAATTCGATACTTAATGACATATATGCTGTTATTTCTGTTATAATCTTGAAATTTTCTTAAAAAAGTTGTGGGTACGTCCGAGTTCTTGATGTAACAGTAAGGTATGGTCATGAGAATTACCGGGCAGCTATTTAATTGGTATAGGAACACTATTGAAGGGCAACATTGTATAGTTATGTAGTTAATAACTGAAATTGCATAAATCAAAAACAGATTTTTGAATAGCCTTTCTCCTATGTCAAAGTATGCGGAGGTGTAGTGACGGACCCAAAAGTTTTTGGTAGTGGGGGGCAAGTGTAGTAAAGATAGGTGGATTTCAAATTCTCTTTAGAATGTACAAACACTCATGATGTTGGGGGAAAATTTTGAAACAAAATGGGGACAAAAATGGTCAATCACTACTACGGTAATAAGTTGTTTTTTTTTTTTAATAGAGTGGGGACATTTGCCCCCATTGTCACCCACTTGGAGTCTTGGATTTGTCCCTGCAGATGTGTCAACTTGCTTTCTGAAAGAACACAACAAAACCTTCCATTAATAATACTTCATTCTTAGTTGTAGAGATTGTACAGGTTCTGTAAGTAAGAAAGTCTCTTTAAAGTCAAGAATCACTGATATCAAGGTCTCTGCTTCGTTGGCAGCAGCTACAATTGTACTTATTTAGTATTTTGACTGTCGATTGGGGCTTGCAAGCAATCATAGGCAAGGGAAGAATGATTTATGAATTTTAAGCTAGTCATTACTCATTGATGGTTAATTGCTTGTTCAGCAAGAGCTTATGAACAATTGAATCTGCATGTTTCATTGTCCAGGGACTCTATTTGGAGTTTTACTATTTTTCTGCTACTACAGAAAAGCGGATTACTATTTATTAGAAAAAAAGAGAGGGAAAAAAGTACAGTTTTAGCTATTTCTACTGTTTTATAATCTTTTGTGGATCTGTTGCTTTTTTCAACCAAAAATTTATCGTCGGTTCTGCTTTCTGTTGGTACCTTGAATATTTTGAAGCACATCTATTGACTCTAATGTTGAAAGATTGGTAACCAAATTCTGTCAGTTTACTCATCTTGTTGGCTTGCAATTGGGGATGGGAGTTTGAGAATTTAGTTTACCTCCATTGTCATATCATATTTGGATTTGGAGGAGGATCATTTTATACAGGAGTAAGAATAAGAATTTTTCACCCAATCTTAATCGTTAGATGTACGTAAATCAACTAATGGTTTTAATTTAGGGAAAATCATTTATGCTTCAAAAGCAGAAAAATTCTTTCTTCCACTGACTCATTCCCTTCTATTATCTCTCATTTTTTCTTTTTTCTCTCTCTTGTTTTTGTATCACTGATAGAAGAGATGATTTCTGCCACAAACAACTATAGAAATCATTCCCCCTTTAATTTATTAGTCACCTAAGCAATTAGGTGCAAGTGGAATCAATGACTAAGATTGAGAGTATAACTTATATCCGTCTAAAATATCCTCTCCCTCTCTATTTTGGTGCTTAGTTAACCAAAATATCTTTTACTCTTAAAATTTATAGGTTGCTTGGGTTGGAAATTTGGCCGTAAACTCGTACGTACTTTGTGAATCTTACTTTATGGCAAGGTCAAGTAGATCACTGGTGATTCTGCATTTTCTGGTACTGTTAAAAGTGAATATTTGATTTTGGTATACACTATATCTATCTATCTGTCTCTGTGAAGCACGAACAGTGAACTTCTGAAATTGTATCTTGTGGTCAGAGCCCATAATCCAGTCAGTTTCCATTAAAGTTAATTCAGGATATTTGTAGATGACTGACTGTTGGTTTTGAAGCAGTTACTTTCTGACTTCATATTTTCTTCTACATAGCCGTAGGTTTTGCTGATAACTTAAACCCATAATGCTTCAGATGTTGACCATGAAGAGAAAAGATTTCTAACTGTTAACGTTGGTACTTGGTAGGTTGAAACTCCGATTGCTTTACATGAAGTGCTAGAACTTTTAGCTAGTCTTCCAATGATATTGTGGCAAGAATAAATACAAGGATTCATGTTGTGGCCATACCATAGGATATTAGAAAATCTGGCCTACGAAAGTCCTTTGGAATAGGAAGCAGATCCTATGACTTTAATTTCTGTGTAAATACATAATAGATCGGAGCTTTGGAATTTCTTTAATCCATCATTCAGCTAAACATAAACTGTTACACAGGGAGATGGAGTTTCTGGTTTGGATTCACCTAACAGGTCTTGTGCGGAATGTTTCATAATATTCTCTTTCCCTAGCCTAATACTTTTTATTAGGAATTTTACCATTTGTTTTTTTTTCTTGGCTGAAAAAAGGAATTTTACCCTTTGTTTTTTGGTCTTGTCTCTCAGTACAACTATAAATAAATGTCCATTACGTTTGAGTGTGTTTATAAATTTATACAGAAATTAAACTTCATAAAAGCATTTATGCATGGCTTCCCATTAAATCTATGGGAAAAGTGTGTATAATTTTGAAGGATGTAAAGTTGTGTCATTTTAAGAGAGAGAAAGAGATAGATAAAGGAAGAGAGAGAGTTGACAAAAAAAATAAAGTTGTGGGTCCCACCTCTTTGTGAGAGTGAAAGGATGTAAGTTGTGTAATTTAAATGTATAGACACTTTTCCCTAAATCTATTCATACAAAAGGGTTCAACCTTAAAATCTCGTAACAATCTTAAACTTTAAAGTATAGATTCGCTTTTTATGCAGTTATTACATATAAGTTATTTGCAATAAGTCTAATACGACGTCGTTTTAAGGCGAAAATTGTGGTATTTTTGTAATTTTAATTTATTTCAGCATTATAATAGTCTTTATATTTATAATTTTGTAAGATTTCAATACCAAAGCGACGTTATTTTGAGAATAAATGCAGATAACTTATCTGTAGCAAAAACATTTTTTACCATGGATTTTGTTTTTTTTTTTGAAATCAGAAAACAACCTAATCCAAATACACACTCATCATTCCACGAATAATGCGTAGCAAATCTGCTCTTAAGCTTTAAAACGCAACAATTACCCACTTGACAATAATTTGTTCCACTCCCAACCCAATGCTAGGATTTTGGAAAGATGAAAATAAGAAAACAGAAAGAAGCCCAATGCAACAAGGGAAATTGCTGGGGAAGATACACAAGTCACAACACATACATACCCATCCATAAAAAAAGAACAACATACTGATTAGTCTTTTGGGTCTGCCATGATTTATTGAAATTATAAAATTCAAACACAGAAAAGTGCGAACTCAATATTTACTACCATGAATAATTTTCCCAACATGTTATGTACTTACTTTAGCAGCACAAACAGTTCATATATCATCAAAGCACTCATTCCGCATCAAAGCCCTTCTCCTGAAGCTCAACAATGACCTCATTCCTCATCCTAATCCACAGTTTCTGAGCTTCCTGCTCGAACTTCTTGTTCTTCAGCTCCTTCTGATAATCTAATGCATCCTTATCAGAGTCAATCACCCCTTTAGGACCAATTGATGTTCCAATCATTCCACCCTTTGCAATGAACTCCTCCATTGCTTCTTCATCACCGGGGTATGGGAACTTCCGGCGCTCGTACAAATGAGCTAACTCCAACTCTTCCTTTGGCCGTGGCTTCAGCGACCACCAACCCAGTGGTGATGTCTCATTGTATAACCATGCCAGGGCAAAGATTACGTGGGTGTAAAGTAAAGACTTACCATAATGTTTCAAGAAGTGGTAGTTATCTTTCCCCAACCCTACTTTCTTCAGGAAATACTGGGCATACTGTAGACCTGCATTGGAATAAAAATTAAATGCAAAAACTTCGATTAAATATTAAAGTTTCTTGTCTGAAACATTTCATCAAACACCTTGTGTGCAAGGTTGGATTCTTCAACGATCGCGGCAAATCATGACAGAAATGGTTTAACCCAGAAATTGTGAAGCTATGTATAATTCTAATATTTCTGGGGTACGTAGAAAGGTACCTGTTTTGGGTTCCTGTCCCTCGAAGCGCTTTCGAGGCATTGCGAAAGTGAATCTGAGACTTCGATGTATACACGGAATGAACTAAAGATAATAACAGTCTTGATGTCTCAAAAGAAAAAAGAAAAAAGAAAAGATAATGGTATTGGCATTAAGGAAAGAATATACTTATCAAGTTTATCAGTTAATTTTTTTTTCACTTTATATGAGGTAAAAAAAATTATACAACTAATATAAATTTTTTTGGATACATAGAAAAGTATTAATATAATTTATCATAAAAATAGAAGAGATGTGTAGATCAGGCCCAGCCCACCAAAGGTGGGGTCTGAGTTCGACTTCTCATGCCTTGTTCAAATTCATAGCTTTTTAAACGAAGCTTTTCTACCGTTTGGATAGACTTGTAAATTTTTTTTTTTATCTTGTTTATTTTAGAAGTATTTTTTATAAAAGCTAAAATTATTTTTATTTTTTTTTAAAAAAAAATGATTTTTGACTCCTGTTTTATTTAGAAGTTTAAATTTTGTTAAAAAAAAAAAAAAAGAATTTTGACTTTTTTTTGTTAGTTATGTTTTTTTTTAAAGTTGACATCCAAACGAACTCTATAGTAGAAATACTTTTTTATTTATTTAAAAAAAATAAGTTTTTGACTAAAAAAATCTCATCCAAACAACCTAATTATGCCAAAAAAAGTACCAGAAATGATACACACTAAGTTTGTTTACGATGCAAGTTAATTGTGCATTTTAAAAGAAAGTTAAATTTATGTACGTTCTTATATAGCGATCCATCATTACCTATGGGAGGGTTCACTTGTCACAAACAAAATTATTTACTTTTCTAAATTGTAAGTTTGTAGCACTTTGCTTTCAAGTAACAAACGTTGGGGACAAGAACTCGGTTTATCACAGATATTTTTCTCTAGCAGTTACAAGAAGGGTAGCCTTTAAATAAGTTGCATGTGTTATCCAAATTGCTTGCCTATTATCTGAACCTCCTGGAGTCAATCTGCCTTGTGCGAATGAGTTATTTGTTAGGATAAATTAGAAAAAAATTTCATGACAATTTATTGATTTAACTTTCTAAGATGAAACTTTGTGTTATTTGATTATTCCAAGAAATCATGCAGGCAATAATTGATTCTGATTCCTGCATTGCATCATGAGTTACATCTTAGATATCAAATGAAAGCATAAAGATGTGACACATATTGTGAATGTTTACATAACCTGGCAATGTTTGTAAGAAGTAATAATAAGGACCTTACATTTTTGAATTTTTGAAAGGTTCAAGGGTATGTATGACCATAGTTTATAGTGTAATACAAGGTGGGAAGACTTGGGAAGAAAACTTTCTGTGTTCAGCAGCGTGCTGTATAATAATAGTATATGTCTCCACCTTGTTGCAAACACAAGAGGATGACACTCATTTAGAAGATACTAAAAGGGCATATAAAAACTGCATAATTTGAACATCTATGGTACAATTTAGGACAGTTTTCAGCGGAGAGTTCCAACCGTTCTTTTATATGTGTACAATTTTGACACCAGAAGGAAAGCAATAAAATTCAGTACACTTAGCACTGTCAATAGGCAGAAGAAATAATCAAGGTGACCATAATTTAGATTGTCAGGTAACCATCCAGGACTCCCATTCCTAGTAGTGACCTTTGTCACAATTGTTATAAGCAGAGAACTCAAGTACTGTCCAAGTGCAACTGTGAGAAGTGAGAGAGCAGAACACAGGCTTCTCATGGCATCAGGGGCTTGCTCATAGAAGAACTCCAACTGACCAATGAATGTGAAGACTTCAGCACATCCTATAATAAAATATGGTGGAACCTGCCAAAATATTGACATGGGGATCTCCTCATGATCTTGATAATTGTGTCTTTTCACCATTCTAAGCCTCATATGCTCCAAAGTTAATGCGTATATCATGGAAAATATGGATATGAAGAGGCCAATTCCCATTCTCTGGAGCTGTGTTAGGCCATTTTTGTGGCCACTGAACTTTCTAGCTATTGGCACTATGATCCGATCATACACTGGGACCCAAAAGATGACACTGAGGGTATCAAAGATAGAAAGAGAAGCCGGTGGGATCTGAAACTTTCCCAAATGAGTATTCATTGTTTCCCCCTGCAACACAAAGTAGTTGCTCATTTGACTATAAACAGTGGCAAATATGATGCCAGTGGCCCATACTGGAAGCAATCTTATAATAGCTTTCAGCTCTTCCACTTGAGTCACAGTGCAAAGTCTCCATGGGTTTACTGAGTCTTTCACATCACCTGAATTTCCTAGCACTGCTGCTTTGTCAAAGAATCTGTTACACACAAGAAGAAAGTGTGAATATAAACTAGATAAAGTAACATGGCCTTGCCTTCTTCTTTTTTTCCCTTCAAAAATATGCTATTGTCTAACAGGTTGAAATAAACACTTCCTGATTTGCAAGAATTATAATCTCACTGAAGCATTTGGAAGACTAATGATTATAAATAAATAAGATTGTTTCAATTTGATAGTATAGCATGTGAGATGGCATGAATGTTGACTAAAGCATGCTTAGAAATCAAGTGTAACACCAAAATTGTTGTTGTAAAGAACCAATTCAACCCAAAAGCTTAAGCTATTGGGTATGACTACATTAACAGTTTTATATATCTCAACACGCCTCCTCACACGAGAGCTCACTGGGCTTGAAGGGTGGACAATGCACAAGCCCACCTACATGTGCGAAGAAAGAAATTCCACTTGAAAAGAAAGTGGGGGCGGTGAGGATCGAACCCGGTACACCGAGGCTCTGATACCATGTAAAGAACCAATTCAACCCAAAAACTTAGATATATAAAACCATTAATGTAGCCTTACCCAATAGCTTAAACTTTTGGGTTGAATTGGTTCTTTACATGGTATCAGAGCCTCATGTCCCGGGTTCAAACCTTGCCGTCCCCCACTTTCTCTTGTGGAATTTCTTAGCACAGGTAGGCTGGGCCTGTTGCATCATCCACTCTTCAAGCCCAATGGGCTCTTGTGTGAGGGGGCGTGTTGAGATATATAGTCCCACATTGGTTGTATGAGCAACTAATGTGGACTTTATAAGTTCTTGGGTACTCTCACCCTTTGAGCTAGCTTTTGGGATGATGTATCCCAAAGTTCTTTACATGGTATCCGAGCTTAAGTGACCATAAGGTTGCGAGTTCAATCCTCACCGCCCCCCACTTTCAGGTAGAATTAAGAAAAGCATAAGGAAGACAAAAAAAATGGGCTTGTGCAGCACAAGACAGACCAAAAATGGACATATCCACGCTTCAAGCCCAAAGGACTCTTGCGTGAAGGGGTGTGTTAGAGAATAAAATATAAAGTATTAAAAAGATCATCACCTATCACCTTAAGGTTTTGGGTTAGTTGCCACTGGTTTACCTTAATCCATTTGAGTGGTCAAGCTTGCGGCTTCCTTGGATAGCAGACTCTTGTGTGTCTGTAATCTCATATAAGAGAGACTTATCATTTGGTACTTCAACATGATAATTTCTTATAGATGCCACTATCACCTGACAGATGCGAGTGAGGGGGCTACCTCCTGGCTTCTGATTTCGATACAACCTTGTACCTGAAAAGAAACTCACAACAGCAATTGCCATTGCCAATGCTGGAATGCCAAAGCCCAATGCCCAACTTACACGTTCTTGTATCCAGACCAAGAGAGAAGCAGCTATGAGAGCACCAATATTGATTGATAAATAGAACCAGTTGAAGAAAGAACTCTTGTTTTTCTTCTCCGCTGCGTCTGCATCATCAAACTGATCTGCACCAAATGATGAAACACAAGGCTTGATCCCGCCAGTGCCAAGAGCTATAAGGTAAAGAGCTACGAAGCACACTGCACTCTGTCCACGAGTAGCATAGCAATTATCTTGTCCATAACAAGTTGGTTTTAGACCAGGAACTAATGCAGACAATGTCAAGAGTGTCATTCCCTGTGAGTGTGAAGGAAGACAAAGGATTATTTAGGCATTGTTTATCATTTATCAATCAAGAACAGATTGTACACATGATTATTGATTCTATCTATCTCAACAGGAAGGTAGTAATCAAATACAGATTGAAGAGACCACACTCACAATAACATAAACTATTGAAAAACATAGAATGGTCAAGTATCTTCCAAGATAGGCATCAGCCACAAATGCTCCAATCAATGGAGTGATGTAGCATGTTCCACCCCAATCCGCAACATTCTTGGAAGCAGTAGCACTGTGCTGATGTAGATGGTACTTAAAGTAAACCACAAGATTTGTGCTCATCCCATAGTAAGCCAATCTCTCACAACATTCATTTCCTGTAAATTGGATAAGTATTTCATAATTAATATCTTAACCAACAAAACATAGCTGGAGAATGGAGATACCCAGTAGTTACCTAAAATAAAGGGGCAGGCTCTCCAGGTTCCGGTTTCCCTTTTGTTAGCTGGATTTCCAAGATAATCTACTGTTCCATCTTTTGTGTAAATATCATCCTCGTCCATTGTAATTTAGTTGAGGGATTCACTTGCAACCAAGCAACCTTTTTAATTGACTTGTTAAATGGCAACACACAGAAGAATCATGAAATAAAGTTTTGCCAATGTTTTGACCAATGCAAGCAATAAAGGTCAAAATAGGACTCAGTTGAACATATATCAATTCTGTAGAGCAGTCTCTGGTAGAACCAAGCCACAAAGGAGATCAGTAACACAAGGGTTAAGGATTCAAGAAATGCAGCCTAACCTGATAGATGGCAATTCATGCAAGCTCTAGAAAGTTTACACTCACACTTTGACTCATATACATGATGAACTAAAGAGGGATTTCTGATTGAAATTATTTACTTGCTTGCTCTACAAAGAATGATGTAGGATGACAGTCAAAATCCTCAAAGGTATTTAGCCTTTGTCTGGCCTTTTATCTTCACATAGTGATGACAGATGCAAACAATCTTGAGGTACTGATTTGGGGTTTATTGGACCTCTGATTCGGCTAGTTAGACTTTGGATTGCTAATAGTCTTGATTAATGATTAGTATTTGCACAACATATTATTTTATATTTATAGGAGAATGATCCGTTTACAATTTTTTTTTACAAATTACACTAAGTATGATCGGTCATATACTCTTGATTGAAGTATGACCGGTCAGACATAGTGTAGTTTGTAAGAATTTGTAAACAAAAAGTTTGTAAATATAATCTTCTCCTATTTTATAAACACTAAAATTTATCCAATTTTTGCACAAGACAAGACATTACAAATGAGTACACTCAATACAGAAATCAATACATACATAAAATTTTAATTAATTATATAAATATGCACAATTGCATAATTGGTTCATAGAAGTTTTAACAAAATAGAAGAGAATTTAAATAAAACTACTAACATTCAGATTGAGTCATGTCTACCAAAGCATAGTCACTTAATTACAACTTACAATCTTTACCTTGAGTGAATTTGTATGGTTATTCGCCACAGCTTGAGATTGAGGTGTGAGGTGTCACCCAAAAGCAAAGCGTAGCAGACCTTGGATTCTCAGTTCAAATTATTGATGAAAACTAAGAGTGAGAAAAAGTTATATGTAGTGTTATATTGGTGTGATGTGAGACAAGGATGACGTTGTGTTCAAGGACATTGCCTCTGCTCTAAGTTGTATAAAACTATGCAAATAATCTGTCAAATCCATGTTTCCCATATGATATAGTGAACCAAAGTCTGAACACAAAATTAAATTGCACTATAACTCAGTAAAATAGTATTTGATGATTTGCTGTGTGTTCATTTGCGTGACGTTGGGTTTATCATTGATGGAAAAGGGATACGGATAAACAACTGCTAAGGACAATTTGAAATGAACAATTTCTTGTTTTTTTGTAACTAATGCAAACATTCTAGTGAAAGTTGGTATCTTGCCATGTCCAACACGTATTATGGGATATTTCTATTCTATCTTCCTCTCAATTTCTTTTTAATTAGAGAAATTTAGTAACTTCCAACATTTTATTTTTGACAATAAAGGCCTCTGATAAATTTATTGATATTTTAGTTGTTTAAAATTTTATATTAAACATTTATTGCTTTAATTTGTTTCTGGGTCCCCAACTTCTCATGTTATTGCAAAATTTTTCCTCTTATGCCACCAATTACAACTATATCTTACTAGTAAGATATAGTTATAATATTAAAAGTTATTTTTTTTTTAAAAGTTATTTTTTTTCTCTCTACGTGAGCTGACAACTTTCTAAGAAGAGAGGAAAAAAGTAGCTTTTAAAATTACAACTGTCTTACCAGTAAGACATAATTATAATATTAAAGTTATTTTTTTTTTCTGTCACATCAGCTTTCTGAGAAGAAAGAAAGAAAAAACTTTTAAAATTATAACTATGTCTTACTGATAAGATATAGTTATAATTGGTTGCTGCAAAAAAAAAGTGATTTTGCCTTTGTTTTTACCTAGCTATTGAAATTAGTTTATTTAATAAAGAAAAAGAATATCAAATGCCGATTTTAATAAAAAAAGAGAATACTTGTCTTTTGTTTTATTGAAGAATGTGATTTTATTATTCCAATATTTTGAAATTTTACCATCTTTTTGTTGCAAATAATTTTTTGCACTGTAAAGTTAAGGAGGAGGAAGAGTATAAACTGAATTTATAAAAATTTCAATAGTCTGACTTATGTATTTCGTCCACAATTCACGTTTTTTTTTTTGGGTTTAGGCTCTTTTTTTTTTTTTGGATATTAACAATTCACGTTTTTAGTAAAGAGCAAAACGAAAACTTAATAATAGTACAGAAGCTCAACCAAACAGTGTCTTTCAGTTTTTTCCAGGTTACATATATTTATAATTGTGATAATGGCTTGATTCAAGGTACCATTGTTTTAATTCGTTAGTGTGTTGTCCCAAAGCAACCCACCAAAAAGATACTTGTTACAACCAATTTTATTATTAGACCAAAGTTTGTTTGTTCTTTAAGTGGCCTTCAAATTTTGCCACTACAGTATAAATAATTTCTATAAATTAGCATTCCATCACATTCGTTTAAGGCATAGTGAACAAGGGAAGATAAAAATGGATGTTAAAGTAAGTGTGACCACATTAGCTTTGTTTCTTTTGCTAGCTTCCTATGTCACAGCAGCACATTCTGGCGTCTTCCATGTTAATAAATATGGTGCAGTACCTCGTGGAGATATAACCGAGGTAATATCATACTAAGTTTTAACAACTGAAAACACTGTTCTTTTATGTGATCAAAAGAGTAATGTGATGGATCTTTTGTCATGCCTTTTATAATTTTCCATTTGGTTTGTTCTTAAGGCTTTGAAACATGCTTGGAAAGACGCATGTGCATCGACAACTCCAAGCAAAATTGTGGTTCCTAGGGGTACATACAAGTTGAAACAAATAACTCTTAGAGGTCCTTGCAAGGCTCCTATTAATGTTCTGGTTCAAGGGACAATTCTAGCACCAATAAACCCAAACCACCTCAATGGAAATGATCAATGGGTTAGATTTGAATATATTGATTTTTTAACCTTATCCGGTGGGGGAACTTTTAATGGCCGAGGTAAAAAAATGGCTTGGAATCAAAATGATTGTGGAAAAAACAAGAATTGCAAGATGCTTCCCATGGTAAATAAAGTACTCATTTCTCAATATATATATTAGTTGCAGCTATAGTATACTTGTGCATTTTCATCTAATATCCTAACAAATTGTGTTTTTTTTTCCCACAGAATTTTGGTTTTAGTTTCATAAAAAATTCAGTTATCAAGGACATAACTTCAAAGGACAGCAAAAATTTTCATGTAAATGTTTTGGGGTGCAAAAATATTACATTTAACAACTTCAGCATCAAAGCACCAGCAACTAGTCCTAATACTGATGGAATTCACGTTGGAAGATCAACTCAAGTGAACATTATTAACTCCAAGATTGGCACTGGCGATGATTGCATCTCTCTGGGTGATGGTAGCAGACAAGTCACTGTCTTAAATGTGACATGTGGACCTGGACATGGTATTAGTGTTGGAAGCCTAGGAAAATATCCAAATGAAGAGCCTGTAGAGGATTTTATAGTTAGGAATTGCACGCTAAAAAACACTGACAATGGTGTTAGGATCAAGACTTGGCCCGGTACATCAGTAACTTCTATTGCGTCAAATTTTCATTTTGAAGATATCATAATGGTTAATGTCAGGAACCCTATAATTATAGACCAAGAGTACTGCCCATGGAATCAGTGCAAAAAACAGGTATCTAACTAAAAGCTACTAATATAGTAATATATCTATTATCTATGTGTGTGCATGCATGACTTAATCACCTTGATGAACCAACATTAGAAAAGATTATTAATTTATCTCTTTAACTCTTTTTTGGTTTTTGTTTTCAATTGTATAGAGTCCATCAAAAGTAAAGATAAGCAAAGTCACCTTCAAAAACATTAGAGGAACTTCTGCAACTAAAGAAGGAGTTGCTCTGGTTTGTAGCAGTGGTGTGCCATGTGAAACTGTGGAGCTCAGTGACATAGATTTGAGTTTCAATGGAACTATTGCAACTGCTAAATGTGCGAATGTCAAGCCCAAAATTCGAAGAAAAGCACCAACTTGTGCAGCTTAAATGGCCACAACTACAAGATAAACTCTCCTTTGTTTATATTGCCTCTATTTAATTTTCTCCGAGGTGGGCTATTACACCTTTGTAATCCATGATTAATCTTAAGTGGTAACAATTATACTACATAATTATTTCTTGTCTTTCGTTTAGGGTAAAGAATTTCACTCTTTCATTTGAGATTGCCATGTTACACTAATTTTAACTGATGGTTACATTACATATTACAACAAGGGTATCCTACATTAGTTTAGTTTTTTTCCCCTCTATGTAACTCAACTTAACCTACTAATCACTTTTTTTTCTATTTTTAATTAAAAAATAAAATAAATACTCTTGTATCATTGAAAATATGCCACTTTTTCAGAGGATCCCTAGATATTTGATTAACTTTCTAATCATCTAATAATATTTTTAAAATTGTTTTTAGTAATATTATACGTCTTGAAGAAAAAAACTTCATTACCCAATGGTTGCAGCTCAGTTGGTAACTTGGCGCTGAGTTAGTGGGGTTGGATATGTGTTCGATTCCCGCTGAATGCATTCTTGGGGAGGGGGCTGAACCTTTAGCCATCACTGTTCCCCTGCACTCCGGATTAGTCCCATAGCCGGCTCAAAGAGTCGAAGCTCGTGAGGATATCGGAGGGAGCCAACTCGTCTCAAAGAGATAATTAGGGTTGGGTAACTCCAAAAAAAAGAAAAAAAACTTCATTTTAAAATATAGGTGATTCACACGATAATATGTGAAATACCGTTGAAACATATTATTTACTTATATCACACTTGTTTCTACAAAATAGCTTTTGAAATGCATAGTTATTGTCAAACGAACTTGATGACTTTCTTTAAAAATCCAAAAAAAAAACAAACTAATATGTGAAGTTTGTTACATATAAATTAATTAATTAAGGGAGGAGTTATATTTACAATCCAAATAGTTTACAAACTCTTACAATCATATGTTAACTGTTGATTTTCGTGAATCAACGGTTGTCATTTATTGTGAATTAATAATTAATTAATAAATTTGATTTGCGAAAGTCTTAACCATTGATTGACGGAAATCAACGGTTAAGATATGATTGTAAGAAGTTGTAAAGGAAAATATGTTGTAAATATAACGTTCTCTATCAATTATTACCCATTTGAGGCGAATATTTGAAATACAGAATAATATTTTTGCAGTTACTGCAGATAAGTTATCTGTATTTACTTCCAAAATGACGTCGTTTTGGGATTGAAAAATTAAATAATTATAATTATAAAGACTATAATAACCCTGAAATAAATTAAAATTACAAAACACAATGATTTCTGTCCCAAAACGACGTCATATTAGGCTTATTGTAGATAACTTATCTGCAGTAACTGCACAAAAAACGAACCTTGAAATATACTCATTCTTTCTTCACAATACATTTACACAAAGAAGTAAAAGAGCTAATATCAGTGCACAAAAAAATAAAAAAGCTGATATCATAATGCCCCTTCAAATAACAATAAAATATGGACATGCATATTTCTTTATAAAACAGCACTTTTTAGGATTTGGATTCTTTTATAAGAAATATATGTCTTATGTTATATGAGAGTCTCATCCACACAAAGAAGAAGAAGATGAAACCCACTAAGGGGTAAAGTTTGAAAAAAAATAAAAATAAATCTCACTTATTTTTTGTGTAAGCATAAAATAAAATTGCCTTGTTCATTAAAAACATATTCTCCTTCTTTTATATGATAACGAGGTTATGTGAGAAAATTAAAATACAATAAGGACAAAATTAATAAAATTCTGTTTATTACATTTGTATCTATTCCTTTGCATATTCCCTTCTCATATAAAAATTTTGATCGCAAGGAAAGGAAAGGAAAGGGATTCAAGGTAATTGAAGGGTATTCCATTCCCTTGTTTGGGAGTTAAAAAAATGGTAAGGGAGAAATTGAAGGGTCATTGAGATATTTTTACAATTTTAATCTTTTTTAAAAATTAATATAGTTATTATATTTTACAAATTAAATTAAATTTAAAATTTCTAAACAAAATTATTTATCTATTTTTCACACTACTAAAAATGATCACATTTTTGACAAAAATTCTACGTTGTAAATGATAAAAATTTCATCAAATTTATTTTTTTGTCGGAATACTTTTCATCGAAAGACGACGGAAGTTTTATCCGATGAAATTTTTTACAAAAATAAATTTTCTGTCAAAATTTACGATGGAAATTAGTTTCCGTCAAAAGTTTTGAAGAAAACGATTGTTAAATATTTTCAACGACAAAAATTTCATCCAAAATTTTGACGGAAAAAAGAATTCCGTCCAAATTTTTTGATGAAAATGTGTCCCAGTAAAAATTTCGACGAAAATTTTTTTATCAAAAATTTTGAGAGAAATGTTTTTGTGAAACTTTCTACGGAATTTAGATTCCGTAAAGAATTTTTACGGAATATTTTTTTTGTCAAAATTTTATACAAATATGTTTTTTGTCAAAAAAATTTACGAAAAATGTTTTCCGTTGAAAATTTTGATAGAAATATTTTTTATCGAATATTTTTCAAGAAATACTTTCCAAAGAAAATTTTCGAGGGAAATGTGTTTCTTTGAAAATTGCGATGAATTTTTTTTGTCAAAAAGTATGATGAAAATATTTTTGCTGAAAACTTTTGACGTAATTTAGATTCTGTAAGAATTTTGACGAATTTTTTTCATCAAAAATCTTTAGAGAAATATTTTTCATCAAAATATTTTACGAAAATTTTCAATGGAAATGTGTTTCGTTAAAAATTTTGAGTAAAATATTCTTCATCGAAAATTTCGACGAATATGCTTTTTTGTCAAATATTTTGACACAATTTAGATTCTGTAAAAAAATTTGACACAATTTTTTGTCAGAATTTTTTACAAAAATATTTTTCGTCGCAAAATTTTACGAAAATATTTTTCATCGAAAATTTTCGTCGGAAATGTTTTCCGTTGAAAATTTTGACGGAAATATTTTCTGTTGAAAATGTTAACGGAAATATTTTCCTTAAAAAAATTTAACGAGAATGTTTTTCGACAATAAATTTTAAGGAATTGTTTTCGGTCGAAAACTTACGAAATTTTTTTCCTTGAAAAGTTTGACGAAAATATTTCCATTGAAAGTTTCAACGGAATTTAGATTCTATTAAGAATTTTGACTGATTTTTTTTCGAAAAATATTTATGTCAGTTATTATGGCCAAATCTTTTTTCGTCTCTATTTTCGACGTAATTTGATTTTCGTCAAAAAATTCATCACTATTTTAGATGAAATATTTTTTGGTCGATAAATTCTTTCGGTATTTGAGACTTTTCTAATGATGTCATATTTAAAAACTATTCATATTTATGTAGTTTTCACATTTTAATGCTAAGGTTAAATAAGTAATTTTCAATATTTTTCCCCTTAAACCCTCCAAATTGGGGACACTTTAATTTTAAGGATGAGCAAGGTTTCGAAGGATTTTGCCAAATTCTCCAATTCCCTTCCCCCATTTTTTTAAACTCACAAATAGAGGAAGGGATTAACAAAACCCTCCCCTTCCCTCCAAAAATCAACTCCCAAAGCCTTAGGATTTTTGAAACCCTATATCAGAGGATATCTCATATACAACGAAGAGGGAATGAGTAGGTCTTCACATTGGGCCGTGGGCCGTGGGTTTATGGGTATTTTTTTTTTTGGTAATTTACTCAGGGCTTCTTTTAATTTGTGAATAGTTGTTATAATTTTATTAATTAATTCTTTTGTGTTAACCTAACATAGGAAAGTGCAATTAATTATATGAAAAAAAGTATATGAAAAAAAAATCACAATGCTTAGTGATTAATGAGTACTTTTAGTATTTTATTAATGTAATCTAGAATAACTAATTTGTGATTAACATTTGGGGTTTCTTTTAATGGATTCATTTTTTCTGCGGTCAATGTAGTTAAGTTATCTATAGAGCCTTAAACGACGTTGTTTTGAGGCAAAAATTAACGTATTTTTGTAATTATAATTTATTTTAGGGTTATAATAGTTTTTATTATTATAATTTTTTAATCTTTTAACCCAAAAAAAATGTCATTTTGGGAGTGAATGTAAATAATTTATCTACATTCACTGTAGAAACATTAAAGCCTTTTTTTTTTTTTGGTAAACATAAAGCCTTCTTTTAACTAGTGAATAGTTGTTATAATTTTTCAAATTAATTCTTTTGTGTTAATTTTTTATAGCATGTTAATAACATTATTTACATTATTATTATTATTATTTAGGGATAACATACGATGATTCATTTAAAAGACATCTTCATCCCAATCCTCACGATAATTATGTATTATTTACGTAATCTAGACACCGTTCAAAGGTTACCTGGATGGAGTAACAGAATTATAGGTCTCTAGGGGTACTTTATTTTTCGGAAAAAAAATAAATAAAGAGTTCCTAAGGCTTGTTTGGAGTTGGTTTTAGGAGGGTAAGGAGGGTTTTAGAAAGTCATTCCCTTGTTTGTGAGTTTAAAAAAAGGAGGAGAAGAGTTTGGAGATTTTTAATAAACCCTCCAAAATCCTCCTTCTTCTTAAAATTAAAGTTCCCCCAATTTGGAGGGTTTGAGGGGAAAAATATTAAAAATTACTTTTCTACTCTTAGCATAAAAATATTAAAACTACATAATTGTGAATCATTTTTAAATGCGATATTATTAGAAAAGTCTCAAATACCGACAGAATTTATTGACGAAAAACATTTCATAAAAAATAGTGATGAAATTTTTGATGAAAATCATATACGTCAAAAAATTTCCGTCAAAACTAAAGATAAAATTAGAGACGGAACCAGATTTTTCCAAAATCACTAACATAAATTTTGTAGGAAAAAAAAATTCAGTCAAAATTATTGATAGAATCTAAATTTCGTCGAAACTTTTAACGAAAATATTTCCGTCCAAAATTTTGATGAAACACATTTCCATCGAAAAGTTTCGACGTAAAACAATTACGTC